GAGTTTTGGCAATACCTGCTATCTTTGAAAGTACATAACTCCAGTTCTAGAAAAGCTTATATCTGGATTTTTATTTCATTTGCAAGATAATAGATTATTCGATTTGGAGGGGGTCATTTGGTGTTGCGAATTGATGTTATAAAAAAGGTTGCAGACATTAAGGTTAATTGTATCATTGATCACGAATATGTTTCTTTAAATCGATTAATCATACTAGTTTCTTTAATTTGTATTGTCCCATTGCACGATACACGATGGAATCAGAAAATTATATCTAAATTCAGTATTTAAAAATGATCAAAAATCTCTCATCGTTATCTGGTCATCTAAGCTTACTCTATATCCCTTGAGAAAATTAGCATTTACATGAGAAAAGTGAGAATGAGTTATGATCGGCTTTCCATGGTGATTTTACGGTAAAACCTGTCTAATGCGCAAATTCGGACATATCTGGAACCAGTCAAAGGTGTTCAAATTAGGAGATTTTCACATTTTAAGGGTTTATTAACATGTGAGTCAATGGGAGATCACAAAATTGGGACAGAGAAAGTGTTCATCTTGAGGGCTGTTCAGATTAAAGAGGTGTTCAGATATACAGGTTTCACTGTATGATGAAAAACATTCGAACATTTTAAGCACATTAGAAAGGTATTGCCATAAAATGACGTTTTACGAGCATAAAATAGGCGTTTTGATAGCAGAAGGTTTGACACAATTGTTTCATATTTTTGGCGTAGTATTGAATTTACACCTTCCTACGCCCCTGAAAGCTCAGGCAAAAATATCGAAATGTAGTATCAAACTTTGAGAAACTTAAAAACAACTTTAATTTGACCTAGATTTTGACTTTTGACCTTGACCTACATAAGAATTCCTTTCCCGCCAAGTCCAACCAAGGTCTCTAGTAGGAGCATGTATGAGATAACTAAAAACATGGCGGAAGGGGTAGAAAAAGTATCCATAGATTATTTATGATTCCTTCAATCTATCGATCGAAGGCACATAAATGATACTAGATATCAAGATTGCAAGCAATCTTACGTAGGCATTTCTTGACAATTAGAAGGTCAGCTGAAGGTTAAATCTCAAATCTAAGGTCATATATGAACTCCAGGCAACTTGTAGACGGTGTATAAACAAATATTTGTTCAATTTGAAGGAAGTTGATATATGAACTTGAAAAATTTCAAAATTTGTCCTTTTTCAGTTTTTGAACTCTTATATCTCAAAACTGATGCAAAATTTTAATAGATAGTCAATTGCTCATATACGTAGAACCTTTAGAGGAATTAATATCCTGAATTTCAAACAGAAATATTGATTTGTAGTCTCGAACTTTGAAGAACTTAGAAAACACAGTTTCTTATTTAGTTTGATGACCTTGACCTCTGTAGGTCTTTTGTGATACAATATACCTAAATTTGATTCCTGAAAATCATTTGAAAAATCAAAAGTAAAGGTCAGATTTGAACTCCTGAGAACTTGAAGATGATGTTGGTCAATTTGAAGCAAGTTGAAAAAAGACCTTTTTTGACCTTCAATATCTCAAAATCTAAGCAAAATTTGTCGAGACGGCAAAGGGTCACACTAATAGAATACTAATATCTATCTGTGTGCAAAAATTCAGCCAAAGATATTAAAGTGTCAGGATTTGAGAAACTTGAATAAAGCTTTGATTTGACCTAGATTTTGACCTTGACCTAGATACTAGAGAGATGAATCTACACAGAGATTATATATTTTAGCTTTAGTTGAACATGAACAATAATGTTATACTAGCTACAAATTTTAGTATTTATTTTATCTTATTTTCAAAAATATACATAAATTGGTAAACAATTCATTTATCAACACAAAAGCAGTTATTGATGACTCCACTGTATAGTGAGACAACAGACTATAGTTTGTGCATTTAATGCTTGTGCAATTTGTTCATTAATATTAAATTAACTAATAGAAAATAAAATGTTATCCTTATTTCAAGTAAATGTACACTGAACATGATGTAATATTATAATGCAGTAGAACATGTATAAATGAACATATAAGAGATCTACAAGCTGCACATATAAGTGTCAACTAGAAGCAAGACAAAATACGTCGAATTCATTCATTTGATCTCATTGGTTAACATGAGGTGTACATTCTGAGTTGAAAGTAAACAATCTGAACCAACTGTCACAATTTTACAAAATGTTCCAAACTTTCATCATTCCATTACATGATTATATGTGTGTGTGTAAGTAAGACTTGTTCATTCATTAACAAACATGGTTTTTTGAGTAAATTGCACTTCCAAAACCCTTTAATTAAAGAGAGACATTGCGTACTGATGAAGAAAAAAGGAACAAAAATTGTGGGAATAATTAGTCACTTACATAGTCTTTTGAATACTATACAAAGCTACTTTTGAGCAGATATTAAGCCGAGAAAAAAATTACTCATGCAGAAAACAGAATGAAATGTTCAGAGTTTGATATCGTTGCAATGAAATGTAAGCTTGTATTTGCAAATGCAACTAATGCCTGTCGGCTACCAGATTAACCTACTATTTTATGACCAACTCATTAAAATATGAAAGGAAAGGTGACAGGGACCACTATTCACATTTGAATGAGTTGCCCATAAAATAGTAGGTTAATCCGGTTGCCGACAGGTTTTAGTTGCATTCATGAATACAAGCTAAGTTTTTATATAACTAATCAACACAGAAAAGTACGCAAAGCATCCCTTTAAGGATGATTTTAGGTATAATCCTTTTGATGTTCATATATACAATATATTACACATCTTTAAAAAGACATTCATTCATTTGATTTCATTGGTTAACATGAGGTATATATTCAGAGGAAACATATTGTGGGATTTTACCTACCAATCCAAATTGATAGATTCTACAGAACTAAAATTCACAGAATCTTATGCATTTAGAAACTACTGTACCTGATAGTTGATATAATTAGATGCACTACACTAACTACAGTCTATATAGAAGTGCATATATATATTGGGAAATATCTCCACTAAATAATACTTTAATATGTACATATTTTATGATAAAATCACATTAAACTGTTTTCTTCAGATAATGAGCTGTGCTACAGGGTATTACAAAGTCATAGAACTTGCCATTATGGCCAGTTATGTGTTTCAAGTACACCCTGTATATATATTTTTTATGATACTGATCACTTATGCATGGATTACCCTATCATAATTTCACATATATTCATAATACACTGTATATATTTTTTGTTTTACTGTTTAGCCTATTATGTTATTGAAGAAGTTGGCAAACTATTATTATATACATGTGAAATAAACTGACCTTTAAAACAAAGTTCAATGTGTTATGTTTGTTCTTTCAAAGCCTACCATGAAATCTGTATCACCCTTCCCCTACAACATTCTACTGGGGGAAAAGGGGGAAACACAGGAATATGGGGCAATGCAGGAAGAGGGGCAACACATGGACTTAACGAGACATCACACCCAAGTGCAAAGCACCAAAAAACATGCCTAGTTACGTAAATGAATAGTGGCTATAGCCAAATTGAGGCAATTCTTGGAGCTTCACATGAAACTGTACGTATATATAAAACTATACAGTAAAATTTGTATTACTAAATACACCTCTTCTAGTCTTCTATGCTTGTGTTAAATAAACACATGTTTCATTGTACACCTAAGAAATATGACATAACATACATTTACCGCCGTACATAACAAATTGTGCCCTTAGACTTGCAAGTAGCTTTGAACTATAATGAGTGGGACACTATACTGTCATGGATATACATGGATATACTGTCCTGGAGATGAATAAAAGAAATACACAATTTGTTCTCCATTTCATGCATATTCATTGTAAATCATTCACACAATGTGTATTTAATAGTCAATTCAGTTACATTTGACACTACGGTACACAAAATGTGCATTTATTTCACTGCAAGTAAGGCACCCTTTACATCACGCCTGGTGATCGTACAAAATGGATGGAGGGGGAGTAGGCGATTTCTGCAAGAAAACTCCACAAAGGAAGTTTTATTTTTTCAAGAGAAAATTTACAACCAAATTGCCAAATAAATAGGTGCAGTGCATGGCCTTTGAAAAAATAAATCTTCCAAATTTGTTGAGTTTTCTTGCAAAAATCGCCTACTCCCCCTCCATCCATTTTGTATGATCACTGGGCGTGTACATATTGGAAGATAAAACATATTTACAATAACTTCCTAACTTCACATGAAAATTTACATCACTTTAATTAATACCTCACTCGGAAGTATCATTTTTTCATATTTTTTACTATTTATCTACAAAAAACACAGAGGTATTTTGATTCCAGTTTTGATTGTTTTCTGCCATAATTAAGAGGTTTACATTGTGTTGAGGTAATCATTCTAAATAAGAGCTTGTTATGTTCATAGAATGTGAATATTCATTTAGTTTGATCCCATGTATTTCTACTTGAAATCTTCATTCAAAATACTGGAAAGATGATGTGCACTGTGTCATCTTTACTCTCTGTGTAACTATAATATTTAATCTGTGTCACCATAGTTACTCAGTGTCACTATATTTACTCAGTGTCACCATATTTACTCAGTGTCACCATATTTACTCAGTGTCACTATATTTACTCAGTGTCACCATATTTACTCAGTGTCACTATATTTACTCTGTTTCACTAATTTACTCAGTGTCACTATATTTACTGTTTCACTAATTTACTCTCAGTGTATAATTACCTTCATTTGCTTAATTGGTCACATCCTCAGTATTAGAAACTGGGATAATGTACCTCTATTAGTCAGGCCCATAGCCAGGGGGGTTCGATGGGTTTGAGCGAACCCCCCCCCCCCCCGGCCAAAAATCGTTCAAAATCATGCAGTTTTCACCATTCTGAGCACTTTTTAAGTGATTTTGGCCATTTTTGGACCAAATTTGTCACATGTGAATCCCCCCTGAAATTATTCAAAAAGTGAACACCCATTGGCAAATCCTGGCTACGGGCCTGTTAGTATTTGTGACAACTGGAAAAATGATTGAAAACAACATGCACAATGAATCATTAGAAATTGTAGCATAACATGGGTATTGGAAATTGTAGCATAACATGGTTATTGGAAATTGTAGCATGATATATGATACCCTGTTCACTTCACCTTGTTCAATAATTTCTGTCTTTCTAATACATTCTCTAAGTAATATTGCAAATTGTAAAATGGAAGTCCATCTCTCTAACCTTGTGATACCTTCTGACTTGGAATTGAGCATATGCTTGTATTCTCTGCATCATTTTGTCAAGTCTAAGGCTGTTTAAGTAATGATGTCATAATTCATTTGGCACATTTATCATAAGAGAATTACAGTTCCTTAGTCTCTTTAGCCCTCATAGAGTCAATTACCTTAAGGCTCAAAACACTAGGAACTTCTCAGTGTATAATATGTCTAGGATATACAATAGCAATCCATGACATGACATGACTTGTAGACATGAGGCATGACTGTTACATCAAGCCATGACTATAACATTAATGCAAGGCTGGTAGACATGTCTATTGCATCAAGTCATGACTTCACAAGAAAATGTTGACAAGCCCTCTGAAAATCAAGCCATGACTATAACATCAAGCCATGACTATCACATCAAGATATGACTTCATGGGAATGTGTCAGCACTTCAAGTATCATGTATCCATCAACCTCCAGAGAGTCCAACACTAATTTAGCCACATCTTGGTGCCCCTTTCTCAACACATTTGTGCCATTCACTGAATACAAGTACTGACGAATCTGAAAATAAAGACCAATGTAAAAACATTTCTTAAACATGGAAAATGCTAATCATTTTAGAATTTGAATCTTTTTTTAATCATCTTTATTCTATACTTCCTCAAAATAGCTTAATTATAGTCATAATATTAATAGTCATTAAATTCCCAATAATGCCAAATACGAAAAATAGACGCAAAAAACTACAAGTAGTCATTAATATGGTACCCATTCTTCCTTTTATAAATGCTTGATACATTTTCAAATTTTCGTATCCCGGTTAAAGTATTGGATTAATGTTTCTCAGAATGTATTGTACCTTAAGCCCGGCATGTGCGGCAGGTCCATCTGGGTCTACTGTCTGTACATAGGTAGGAGAATTCCCCCTCACTACAAACCCAAACCCTACTGGGTCACTCATAACCTAGGAACAAATATAATATACAAGCAAGGGTGTATTATTGGAGTGATGGGGATATAGGTTCACAGTCTGTGCATATGTGGGGAATACAAGGGTCAAGAAAACAGAAACATTTGAGCTTCGCCATAGGAAAACCAGTCTTATCACAAAAATTTAAATTGTGATACAGAACCAAAAATGTGCCCAAGATTAAGAGGAAAATGTGCTAAATTCAAATCCATCTTTTTGGTCTATATCTGCAAGAAAAAATTGTTAAGACACAAGCCATGGCTCATTTGAAAGGTCTCTTTGTGCTTTTTAATAAAAACAAAAAATCAAAACATTGAAAAAATCTGTGATAAGACCCCTTTTCCTGTGGCCTGGCTCATTTGTTAATTTTGAGAAGTATGACTTCATCCCATTCAAATGAAAGACATTTGAAAGTGAAAATGGAGAGGTTTAACCTTCAACAATAGATCATAAATATTACATTGTGACTTATTCATGAATAAATTGTTCATTGGGCTTTGTTGCTCCATGGAGTTGCTGTTTTCTAGCTATTTAAGTACTAAATTATTTTGATATCAATGTACTTACATGTATTGTTTTCTTGATAAACCGTGACTCTGGATCTTCTATCTCATCAGCAGTCAACTTACACAGCAATACTACAATGGATAATTTTTATGTGTCTGTTACTAAATAAATCATAGTTTTAGGCCGATCTAAAGATGGCAGTTTTGTAGTTTATGAAAATGATATTATACAGAAACAGGTTGATTGTTCTTCCATCTTTAAATGAACACACTTTCTATCACCTCAAACCAGAGGTATTTCGCCCTACACGAATACACTATTTTAATTTGATTGTGACACTATTTTAATTTGATTGTGAAACCATCTTAATTTTTGTTTTTTTGTCACTCTTTCTTGTCCTTTACTGTATCCATATGGTTAAGGTTGGAACACTCTGAATAGGTTATATATGATAACTAATTTTGCTAAGATATCAGAACAGAAATTCAATAAAGACCATGTACCCTAATGATATGATATTGCATGCCCTACACATGTTGCATACCCAGTTTACCGTATGTGGCATAGCCTGTACATGTGACACAATCTGTATATGTGACATACCCTGTATATGTGGCATACCCTGTTCATGTGGCATACCCTGTGCATGCAGTATACCCTGTGCATGTGGCGTATCCTATACATGGGGCATCAAAAAATAACGACACTGTTCATAAATCTCATTTATAACAGCGACATACCTGATTTAAGAGGTTGAGATGATGGCGGGGAATTACTACTTCGAAGACTTGTTCGGAATGTGTCATTGTCATTGTAGCTACAATCTGGAATATACATGTATAAGGGTTATTTAATGGGTGGTTTTGGATACAGGATTTATTCTGAGGGGATATACTGTACCTTGAGAACCCCAGGAACTGAGTAACTGGCTATTGAATCAAATAAGCTGACAAATTATTTGTTATAATGCCATTGATATTTACAATGTACACTTTATATATTAAAATGATTTAAGAACAAACAATGTATACTTTATATATTAAAATGATTTAAAATGGTTTACAGATGATGAATGCCATCCACCACTGTAGACTGACATTCAGAAAATGAACTGAAACTGATGCCACAATTTTTTATCACAGTTTACTGGTGGTATGGAAAAACTAAAAGCCTTGTGACCAGAAACAAGATTTACCCTGGCCTAGAGCAGTGTTTTACATTTTGGTAAAGTCTGTTTAGCACTGTATATAATACTGAACATTTCTAAATGAGGTGTCAATACTATATGCTATCTTCAAAACTATGATCCAGATAATCTGAATTTATACTTAAGCAAGTTAGCAACCATAATCAAAATAAATGGAACTGCTAACACCTGGGGATAAGCATCTTTACAAAGTAATTACACAAAGCACCCTTTTGATTGCAAAGGATTATAAGAATTTGGAAGTGTGAGAATGGAAGTTTGCGTTATCCAGAAAATATAGGTGGCGCAGGAAATACATGCATGGCCGAAGGCCGTGTATCTTTGGGGGGGGCATGTTCCCCCGGGAATTTTTTTTCAATCTGAGCATTTTCAAGGACTTAAAATAGTTATTTTCGATTAAAACTAAATCAATGTTTACATGATTTATCAGATTAATATTGATAATACACATAAAATTTCGAAAATTGAACATCATTCGGTGCATTCTGAGCAATTTCAGAGCACAATATCCTGCACATTAAATCATTACAATCACTTATTATTAACCTGTGCTTGTTAATTGATACTTACCTAATAAAACATTCAATTTCTCTGTTGTTTGGTGCAACATTTTTCTTAGCAAAATATTTTTGTTTTAAGCGATGGATTCATTTTTAAGATTTTAAGTCCAATAAATCTACCACTAAATACATTACAATTTAAAAAGAAGGCCTGTATACATTGATTAGCGTATTGCCTGTTAAGGAAATACGTAAAAAATGTTCACAGACTACCAAATTAAATTATACCTCCCTATTATCAAACAATAATACACATTTACAAGAATAAAAAAAAAAGTTTACGTGAATTGATTATTTTATCGTTCATTGTAAATGATGTAGCCAACACACCGGCAGCCAGTTTTAAGCTTCAGTGGAGTGGAGCATTTTCATCTTGAACTTCCTGAATTATCTCACATTCGTAAGGATTCACGAAATAATATAAAACATTATCGCTCTATGGATGTAAAAACGAACATACTATGACACTTACTGACAGTTATAACTCTTCCCATCTGATGTGCTCAGATAACAGAATATGCCTCATAATATCAGAGCATGTTTCAGGTGAAACAGAAAGATGATATGATTATCAGAATGCCTGTAACAATTATTATCTGTAATCATTTGAATGCCTCAGTGATATACATGTATTTGTAATCATGTTCCAGTTGATGGCCCTTGGTTGATGGGCCACTTACACTCAAAGACATTTATCTTTATATCTTATCTTACTTGTTTATTACGTGAGACTGATAAGTAAAGGTGAGATGGCTGCTTCCTATCACAAACAAGATAACTTTGTAAAGGACAAAAGGAAGAACAAAGGATCATAACCCAGACGAAGATTAAAAAAAAAGTGATATCTGCTTTCAAAATTGGGGTTCGCTTAACCTTTTTTTCATGTCAAAATGTTTTCCCCAAAACTGTAACATAACATGTACATGTAGGCTCACTTCAAGTTTTTTGTAAAATATGTTCCACATATACATGTATATTTGACCTGGACCTGTAGGGACCACTTCAAAGATCAATGTACGCTATCTTTACCTGAATTCTGTCGTCGTATGTTGATAGGTATGCTGTCTGCACTGCTTTCTGAGTCTGTTCTTGTGGAATCCCCTGTACTTGATTCTCGTTTTCTTGTTTTTAACAGATCCATTAGTTTTCCAGTGCTTGAGAAATTGTGTTTAAATTGATATAGTAGGGTTAAGTCTTTAAAATGGTGGTCATTCGTAACTGAAATGAAACAAGAATTAGCATACAATGATGCAGAATTACATAAGCTATTATACATACATTATACAAGTAACTAAGGTAATATGTTCACACATTCAGGCCCGTAGCCAGGGGGGGTTCGCAGGGTTCGGGCGAACCCCCCCCCTGGCCAAAAATTCTTTCAAAATCATGCAGTTTTTCACCATTTTGAGCACTTTTCAAGTGATTTTAGCCATATTTGGGCCAAAATTGTCAAATGTGAACCCACCCCGGAAATTTTTGAAAACTGAACCCCCCCTTGGCAAATCCTGGCTACGGGCCTGCATTGATGTTATATCTTTCTAGATATTTGTTTTGCCCAAATATCATGGTTTCCTCATTGAGAAAGTCATATACTGTAAACGTGTATATTGACACTGAGTCAACCATGTATATTCTGTAGTTTTATTGATTTTTAATAGTTTTAAGAGTGGTCTAAAGATTTTCTACTAAGAATGGGTAACAATCAACCGGGCAATCAACAGAGTGTTGGGCTGGGCTGTGAGTGGTATAACAAATTCCTTCCAGAGACATATAAAACTTTATATGTCTCTGTTCCTTCCAATGTTATTGTCTCTGGTCTCAGACAGGATATTCAAAATTCAAATCTGTTACATCACCATAGGGTGTTGATTAATAAGTTTGATCACATAATTCACACCATCAACATGCCTGATAACATTTCCATAATTAGCCTCCAGTATGCCTGTCAGGATGTCAGAGGAAAGATAAGAGAACACAATCTCACAAACATTAATAATTGATGTTAATTTTGATCATGAATGTCAACTGAATATTGGAACATTGTTCATATGGAAGAAGGAGGCGGGGGGGGGCTATATCTCTATCACTTTATTCACTCAAGCTTTAAAACAAGAATACTGCTATGATTTATCATGGGCTTTCAATAGACATTTAATGCCCATGGATTTATCAAATTGATGGGAGGCTCACCATGCTTAATGATGTCATTTTCTAAGAATTCCCTACATGTTCTGTGTGCATCTTCCCGACTAGTTGCTTCTCCATTGCTGACCATCCAGTCAACTAGGTCACTACCCATGAAAACATTGTAGAATGTCTGACCATCACATTGGTATTCTTGATGGAGGACATTGGCATCTTTTTTTACCCTGAATTAAAACAGAGCCAAGTACAAGACACAGAAGTAAATAAATCTTGAAGATACTGTCTCAAATTCTCAACAAAGTGTAGAGGGACTAAAGTTTGACAGCTTGGTAATCTCATTAACACCATGCAACTGGCAATTTTCTCTGTTGGTATTACCAAAATAGCCAGTTTGAAGGAATCAACTCAAGGGTATGTCACCACCTGGTAGCAATTTCAAAAGTGCAACAATGTGTTACAGACACTGAATTCCCACAACAAATGCTCATCTCACATACAGTGGTTGTAACAATATGTCACCAATTCTTAGTTGCCTGTTGTTTTCATTTATTTTGCGAATTGTCAGAAATCTTACTGAAACTCCCGAATATATTTAGTTTTCATGAATTAAATATAATAATCATATACATAAACATTATCAATCATAATTAAATACAAAGCAAAATAAACTGATATTTACGATAACATTCATCAAAAAATACCTGTTATCTAAAATTTTCATATCTTTCTTTTGGAACTGTACGGTACCTGTTACAAATTCTTTGTGCCTTGAGAAATATAGCCCCATCCTTGTGCCACGGAAATGTACCATCATCCTTACGGAATCTGTAGAAAAGCATCTCATCCTTGAATTGATGGTCATCCACAACTAGGAAATAAATAAACAAAATAAAGCATTATGATTGAAGCATGGTCATACTGTGTCAAGATCTCATTTAAAGGCCAGACTAAAATGGTACATCTATTTTTGGGAGACTCTTGAACTATGCCTTCAATGTACATGTACATGTAATATACTTGCCCGTAGCCAGCTTTTACCAAGAGGGGGAGCTTTTGCCAAGGGGAGAGCTTTTTTGTCAGTTTTGGCTAAAAAATCATGCCTTCTGGCTACGGGCCTGATATATGACATGTTACAGGCCCATAGCGATGAATGGGTTCCCTGGTTTCGAGCTGGCCAAAAATGTTTTCAAAATCATGCAGTTTTTCACTATTCTGAGCACTTTTCAAATGATTTTGGCCTTTTTTAGACAAAAATTGTCAAAAGTGAACCCTCTGGAATTTTTTAAAAAGTGAACTCCCCTTGGCAAAAGCTGGCTACGGCCCTCTGTTAAAACATAGAAAATCGAAATGATAAATATATGTAACAATGATATTCAATATTTATTTTTTCCATTGTAGGTAAGGGATGCTTGAGGGACCAAAAAGGTTTGAAAGCATGCATTTTAACATATGCAAACTATATAGTTATTTTACTACATTACTTTTTTTTTATTCCTTATCCAATTTAGTTCTAATCTGGTTGGTAGCAGTATCTACCCATTGGCATTTATGGAGCCTCCTACCCATATTCAAACTTCTAAACTTGAAAAATCCAGGTTTTCTGGGTCGTAATAACCATCTTGAAAGCCCATGTTTTAACTAAGGTAGAAATAATACCATGATGGAGGATGTAATTATCTTGTAGAAGTCTCATCAGTATTACTGCAGTATTTCTGTCTGTTGCATGGCCCCGATTAACCAGCCAATCTACTGTCTCACTTCCCATAAAACAGCAATTGTATGTACGTAGATGGTAACGCCTGTCAGATATCAGACCACCTTTGTGCATTTGAATTCTAAAAAGAAAATAATACCATTTAGTACATGGATCTTATATCACAAAACAACAAATTTTGGGAGGCCTTTTTGGTGAATTCCTATAACAAATAAAACTGCTGATACCATAAAATTACAGAGGTAAGGCTAAGAAAATGTGTCCATTCCATGGGAAATAGGGCAGAAATTGATAGAATTTTGCAAATCTAGATAAAGGCAAATTCTGTGCTCTACAGAAATGGAAAACTGTCTCGTTATAAATTTATTTCCCTGTGGCGGTAGTCTAATACCTTTAGTGACTATTGTATGGTTACATTCTTAGATCCGGCTAGAGGTACTTGGTATAGTATATTCACATACAGGGTGTCCCGAAAGTATGGGCCCCCTTAGGTAGACATATTCCAGTGTCCTCATAGTATGTGTCATATATCATTTTAAAGCTTGTCCAAAGCATGTTCTTCAGATGTTCTATTTACATTGTTTAGGGTGAAGGTACTCTCCCCTCCATAAGTTTGGCAACCTTAGCTCCCCCATTGAACTATGTGTTAAAGCCTCTTTACGTTTGAATTTTTATTTACTTAACCGGCGATGAAATAACTTATAATATTGATGATGTTGAAATATATTACAATGCCTGACATGGCCGTGACAAGGTGAAAAGAGATTTTAAAAAAATTGTGGCCGAGAGATAAATAAAAAAAAAAGCCGGGGATTCGAGCCACCGAAAGCTGGATTCAAACCATCAAAAGCTGATGCACTTAATCCATTAGGCCACAGAGACATCTTGTTTACCTGTGAAAATTTTAACCTATATTTTGAATTTAAGAAAACAGTTGAATCGCTGTATAAGATTGATTAAAAAAATAGTTAACAATCATTTTAACAATATTAAAATATTATATTTAAGTAAATATTCTAAGCCAAAATCAGGATTAATGATGTAAATCCAGACTTCATTTAGATATTCTATTTCCTGTTATGACTCGTAAAAAAAATGGCCTCACAAAATATTTCTTGCTTCCACTTTTCAAAATGATATATATCCATGGATCAGTTATTTGTGGCACCTGAACCCATCCTAACAGAAAGGTAAGACTATTTCAGGCCCGTAAGACACTTTTCTCCAAGGGGGGTGCGGTTTTTAGCTTACTAAAGAGAATATAAAATTGTCAATTTTTTTGCCGCGTAAATCAAATCGCGTAAGTCAGAGGGGGGGGGGGGGGGTCAGTTACTCGCTATATTGGTTTGGAATTAACAAATGCAACTTCCAAAAGTTCCAATTGTTTTGTGGGGGTGTGAGGAGTGGTCCACTCCCCCAGAAAATTTTACAGTTTTGAGATGCTATTTGGTGCTTTCTGGGCACTTTCAAAGTGTAAGTTTCCAAGAAGTACGCCACCACCATGGGAATAAGAGTTGAGTGAATAAAAAACCGAGCATTCAAGGGGGTCTGGGGGTTCTCCCCCAAGAAAATTTTGAAATTTGGTTGTATTTGGAGCGAATTTGCAACCAATTTGCAACGCCTGTGCGTTATGTGTCAATAAGAAAAATGTGTATTTTTTTCAAATTCTTTTGGGGGTGTCAAAGTGGATGAGAGGGTGAAGTGGGGTGTGGTGCCAGTAGGGGAGCAAGGGGTTGTCCCCCAGAAACATTGACCATATCAAGGTGCTATTTGATGATGTCTGGGCACTTAAAAAAAGTCTGAGACAATACATGAAATTCAGAATATTTTCTTTTGTTTTGTGGGGGATGTGAGGGGTGGCTAACTCTCCTAGAAAATTTTACAATTTAAAGATGATATTTGGTGCTTCTGGGCACTTTTAAAGTGTATTAGTCAATAAAACAATCACAATTTTTTCAAATTTTGGGGGTGTCAAAGGGGGGGGGGTGCCAGAGGGGGAGGTGGGGCTGGGGTGCCAGAGGGGGAGCAAGTGTTTGTCCCCCATATCAAAATTTACAATATCAAGGTGCTATTCAATGAAGTTTGGGCACTTTAAAAGTGTCTGTGCCTAAAAGTGCCTATATTTCCCAAGAAAATTTTGCAATTTTAAGATGCTATTTGGTGCTTTCTGGGCACTTTATTCAATAAAGACAATAAAAAGAATTTGAATTTTTTTTTTTTTGGGGGGGGTGTTAAGAGGGGGGGGGGGGGCTGCCAGAGGGGGAGGTGGAGTGGGGATGCCAGAGGGCGAGTAAGTGTTAGTCTTCCAGAATCATTAACTTTATCAAGGATGATGATGATGTCTGGGCAATTTAAAAGTGTCTGAGACAGTACATAAAACAAATTCAGAACTTTTCCATTGTTTTTTTGGGTTGTGAGGGGTGGCCCACTCCCCCTAGAAAATTTTACAATTTTACAACGTTATTTGGTGCTTTCTGGGCACTTTTAAAGTGTATGAGTTAATGAGAAAATCACAATTTTCTTTTGGGGGGAGGGGGCGCCATAGGCGGGGGGGGGGGGGGTCTATGCAAGTGCAAGATGCAAGAGGGGGAGCAAGTCCCCCAGAAACACTAACTATATCAATGAGCTATTTGATGATGTCTGGGCACTTTAAAAGTGTCTGAGACAAAACACTTAAATAAATTTAGAACTTTTCCATTGTTTTGTGGGGGGGGTATGAGGGGTGGCCCTAGAAAATTTTACAATTTTAAGATGCTATTTGGTGCTTTCTGGGTACTTTCAAAGTGTATGAGTCAATGAAAATGACGGCCCTGTATTTTCTTGAAGAGTATTCCTTGAAATCCCAAATTTCTGTCTCTGAAGTATTTGAAAGTCAGTTTAATAAACCACAATAAAGAAGTCATAAATTAAACATAAAGCCTTAAAAGGCTATGGACACGCCAGGCTTCCACGAAAACACTTCCACGGTCATGGCAGGCCTTACAATATAATACAGCATTGTACCCCCCGTTGGTAGATTTGAGGTGTCCAAAATGTGGCCAAGGTGTTCAGATTTGGACCAAGGTGTCCAAAATTTGAACAAAGGTGTTCAACATTTGCAAGTCACTCATGCTAAGTGTTCCCAAGTTGACAGGCCTGTGGCAGGATCCTTGCGATAGATAGCATGTGAAGGGTAGGAAGCACGGATAGTGGGAAGTCCATCATATATTACTTATATTATTTCTCAGGTAACGCAGCTTCCATCCAAAATAAAAAATATGTATTTTCAAAATAAATTATTTGTCTAGTTTTCGTTAAACAAATATCCTGAGACACTAAGGGCCTGTAGAAAACACTAAACAGAAAAATAAAAGCAAATCACGCAAAGGCGCGTGATTTTTTCGACCAATCAAATAGCTTGAAATTTACCAAACCATTTCGTCCAGTGTTTCACACATGCGCAGTAGAAATTGTCAATTTACTGAGCGGAACTTTCAATGGCCTGGAGAAATTTTACTCACGAGAATTGATGATTACTGAACACATATAGGCATAAGAGGTGAGCGACCCAGTTATTTTTGCGTATAAATGTTTCAAGAATAGCATGATATCAAATAATCTGTAAAATATGCTACGATTCATTCAAAAATTGAATCTAGAGGACAGGTGACCATATTTTTTTAATTTTTGTAGCATTACCTGGTGTATATACCTCCTAGATGGAGGACTTCCCACTATCCGTGGTAGGAAGTCCTATCAAATAAGGGATCAAATAGGCCTAATGGTCTTACTTTCCATTGATATAGGCTATATGGTGATCTAAATACCGGGTCTAAATACAACTCTAGTCTGAGGGCCTTTAAAAGAGGGGACCATAATCCCGAGGGGACCGTAATTTCTTTCACACCGGGTTTCCAGGATTCGCCTCATGCCTTCGACGAGAATTGGCTTGGGTCAAGGACTCGTCGGAGTAAGTTTACATGTGCATTTACTTAGACAGTGTTACAGCTCTTGTAAAATCACCCACGAGTGCTGAATCGAATGTTGACATTCAGACACATGTGTACTTTGAAATATTCCTTACACACTTGTTCTATCAATTACCTCAGTTGTTCACCTATCAAAAGGATATCACCGATAAAATCGAAACGGTTTGGTGGAATTCTGTCTTCCATGTTGTTTACCTCTCCTGCCTCTGGGATCATTCCTTGTTAATTTTACAGGATTGGGAGCATATCATAAAATTTCACAATCATCCACGGGTGTCAAACTGTTTTATTCGTGTTTCGCCGTGCCTCATTGTAAACAAAGAGTAACACACCCAGGGCATTTTTATCTCGATTCAAAGCCAAACTATTCTTTGAGCCTACTCCCAATGGGGGCTGGATCTGGCTCCGGATCTGTGGTAGTAGGGGTGATTGAAAAAATGATCTTAAACAAGCTTTTCAGTCTCTAAAACTATAAAATAGAATACCTGGTGGAACTTTCTGATAATAAAATTGTCTGCCAAATGACTAAATTTCAAGAATATTTGTTTGTTTCGATCATACATGGGGTTTCAATAGAAGGGTAGGCAACTTCCCATATTTCATGACATTGTCTTAGGTTTTCAAAATTGGAGAAAAAATGTTTCCTGTACACATTCCAAGGAAAATCTTGTTTTGTGCTTTTCATGTATGATTTTAGGAAATAACCCAAAAATAAAAACATGATTATCTGCATACATGTTGATAATTTAATATAAAATCCTCCTTTCCCTATTGGTCTTTTTGTATATTTTTAAATGAGATTAACCATGTTTCATGTTTTAATCATATTTTCAAAATTGATTTTTCTTCAAGATACGACTAAAAACATATACATTAATCTAAATATTTTTGAAATATTACCAAAAAAGGGTAGCATGACACCGCTCATTTTGAATTTCTTATGTAAAAACACAGAGTAGCATACCCCTTTCTTGAAAGCCCATGGGTCATCATCATGGTAAGGCACGCCCTCTCCATTTCTATCCTTCTGGATATCATCTGCGATGCAACAGAGAGAGATACTATGAGTATCAGAATGATGGATCATAGGCTTTCAAACTTTCAAGCTTTTCTCTTCAATGATCACCCTGTAGATAAGAAATACTTGGTTAGACCACGGACTAAGACTTCGGGTCCGTGGTTAGACCCGTGATATTGCGAAATCAAAATGACGTCAATACTGATACCCCTCTGCTGACTATTCGTGTATTAAGAGGTCACGTGACGTCCTACGTTCTTTCCTTTTTTCCGCTCGTGGCATTAGCACTGGTAAGTGAAATTTTTTCTGTAAAAATCTGTGAATATCTCGATGGTTTTTCATCATCTTGACAATTTATCAAATACAATTGTTCAATAAGATAGTAATAATATATATAGGTAAGTAATTTATGGTATACAATCATCTGGATATGTTATTTTGTTGGTCAAAAATTAGGCAGATATTTTGATATCTTTGAAATTCATTGACATATTTGTGAAAGCCGGTTGCCTAAAATTCACAGTAATGTAATTGTTAATGCTATTTTGACTTGTTCATTATTTGATTAAGACACGTGGCTACATAATTTTGCTCAAAGGGTAAATTTTGTTTATATACTTTGTTGAGAATTGTAGTTTTTTTTGTCTACATTGAAAAATGAAAAAATAAAACATGGCTGCCTCCTTCCTAGTCCAACAACATTAGACCTAGCCTGGGCCTCGTTTCTTATCTGACATGTCTTATGGCCCCGGCTAGGTCTAACCTCCATGATCATTTTGCCCTTGTTGCGCGTTCCGCAGGTTTCGACCAGCGGAACTAATTAACACTGAAAACATGGTAATATTACATAAAGAATGTGATTCAAGCATGCATACATACCTTATGAATACATACACACCATCCCGTATCCCCCTTAGACCCTATTGATGCATAATTACGAAAATATTGGAGACAGGTTTTGAATTTTACGAAAATGTCGGTCAGTTCCGGTAACATCGAAATTGCAAATCGTTTCAGGAATTGACCGTCATTGCGACACTGCATCAACGAACAGTAGGTTTGCAATTAATAACTAATTTGCGTGTATACAAGCGCTACATAAATCAATCAAAGATACCTGTTATCCTCAAAATTGATCTTTATATCCCGAGTAATCGCGTGATAATTATCAATCTATTTGACAACAATTTCGTTTCAATAGTTTAAATTTTAACCCGGGACGAACAGACACAATGACGGACATGCGGAATGTCATTTTAGAGATTGGTAAGTTTAACCTCATTTTACTTGTATAAATGACCATTTAATACAATAATATTGTGTTGAATCGCTTGATGTTATGTGTTTTTATATTGTTGTCAATTAATAAGTAATTTCATGCGCGTTTAATTAATAACTGATAGTGAGAATTTGCAACAAATGAAAGCATACCACGGAAGTTAAACCCAATCACGGCAACAAGAACATTCAGATTAATAAATGAAAGCCGTGGTATTGGGTTTAACTTGTTGAACTACCTCCTTCCATGTCCGGCTTGTGGTGCAATAATGATTGATCCAATTTTCTTATTTTGACTCAAGGACCATGGACTTGAAGCTCACTAGGTTGTTCATATAGCTTGATTTAGGTTTTTCCAAAAATTCTCCATAATATATTTGTCAACTTGTTCATTTGATCTATAGAAAACTCTGGAAAGTTGGAACTATCTGCAAGCTTATGGGACAACTTCACTCACGTCTAACCATTGCATTAGCAGGCGTCCAGTGTCAAAAAATACAGTAGTACAGTTTTCTGTAAGGTGACGAAATAAAACTAACTGAGTTGAAGCAAAAACTATAATAAGGGCTTTAAAAAAATTAATAATAATGAAATAAATGATGAAAATAAATACGATTCCGGGTGTAATACAAACAGCATTCTCTTAAAAATGGTTTTAACTTTCTAATTATGATGTAAGTTTTTCGAGCACTGTTCAGACTTTTTCGTTTGGTTATTATTTTCCATCCCGTCTGAGAGTTGGATTATTTTTTGACGCTGATGGTTGTCGCTGTGAATCATCAATTAGGAAATGTCTTGGCCTAGCTGCCTTCACCTTCTTCTTAGGCCACTACATTGTCACATCGTGGTCTTCGTCCAAAGATAAATCCCTGCATGTTTTTTACTATGCCGGATGAGAGTTATGTCGCTGTACACAGGTTATATCATAATCATAAAATTTTAAATCAAATGTTCACCATTTAACCACATCACAATTTGAATTGCGAGTTTTGGTCTTATTACCTCACCAAAAATTCCAAAACGCATGAAGTGATCAATGTATTAGTTCACATCTTCTAAATTGTTAACTTAAAATTTACAGCCTGTTACTAAAGTTGGACATTTAGGTTCAGTTGGAAAATAACATTTTAAGTCTTTATAACAAACTTGATAATGGAAAGCACATCTGGTTTCATTTTTTGTCTCATGGAACAGTTCAAGTCGGATTCAGGATTGAAAATCTTTGAATTTAGAAAATAAGCAATGAAATGGCTATATTGCAACAGTATATGAAAAAATGGAAACATTATTACAAGTCCTAACTTTTGTATATCTCGGATAGTTATGTATAATCTGCAGCAAAGCTGTGGCCTTTTGTAATTTAGGGAGTTTCAGCCATGTTAGTTTTGAAATAAGCATTAAATTTAAGAAGAAAACTTAATTGCATGTTAGGTGGTGTAATCTTTGAGGACTGGGGCAAGTTAATGGCATTGTCTTTGACAATTTAGTCAAAAGATTTTTAATTAAGATTTTTAAACCTAGAAGTGTATAAAAGTTCTTGATAAATGTTTTTTATTAGTGTGTAGTAGTTCCAAATATTTAAAATTTTACTGTAAGTTACTAGTCTAGCTATGTATTCAAGTATTTTATGCATGGTTTTAGTTGAGATTCCTCAATAAAGTTGTTAGTGTTCTTCCTGTTTGGTGCCAGGCATACTAGGCCTTAGTGCAATCAACAAATATTTATAATCCTGATTACTTTCAAATCCAATTAAGTTCTGCAAAGTGTTCCATTTATTGTGAGATTCCATATATTGATGTAAAATTAGCCTGATTGCCGAGGTTTATTTGTCACATCTGTGCTTTGTAAGTAAAGTTTCACTAAATACTGCAATCAACATTTTCATTATTGTTTTAAGTATTTCCTGTGTTTGAATAGTCCATTGTTGCTTTGGCTTTCATCAAATATACAAATTTATGATTAATGCAACAATTATTTTTGTTTCCAGCAATAACCATAAGCACATACTGGTAGCAAGATGGGTGCCGAGAAGAAGCATATCAACATTGTTGTCATTGGACACGTAGATTCAGGCAAATCTACCACAACTGGACATTTGATCTACAAATGTGGTGGTATCGACAAGAGAACCATCGAGAAGTTCGAGAAGGAGGCCCAAGAGGTAAGTAATTTTGAATCTGTGGAATTCTAATAAGAAGAATTGTAAGACCATGGTTCAAAATATTTCGGATGAATTTGTTTTTTGTGAACTAGGGGCCTCTTGTGATTCATGAGATAACACGGATGTTTCTGCCAGAAAGATCTAAGAATAAGTGAAGTAACACAATACAAGAAACACAAGCAATCTTAAATATAAATTTTGTATTAACAATGCAAATGTTCTTTTGACAGTATTACACTGTTGTGCTTCGATTGTATATATAGGTATGACAGACCTTCATTTTGCACTATAATGTAGCAAGCTTTTTGTTGTCATAATGCACACATACAAACTAAATCATTTTTGGAAGATACCTTGGTTGTATGCATCTTGGAAATTCTGTCTATTGTGTGTTTTAATAAATGTGTGAAAAAATCTTTAACTCTGCTTTCATCTTCAGATGGGAAAAGGCTCCTTCAAGTATGCCTGGGTATTAGACAAACTGAAGGCTGAGCGTGAACGTGGTATCACTATTGATATCGCTTTGTGGAAGTTTGAGACTCCCAAGTACTTCGTTACGGTCATTGATGCCCCTGGACATCGTGATTTCATCAAGAACATGATCACAGGAACATCTCAGGTAATTGATAGATTGAATAGAGAGGTTAAGCTACACATATTTAACAAAACTTGAATCTGTACCTCAATGTGCTCGTGATATTTTCCTACACAGAACGATTTATTTAGATGAGACAACCTCTGAAATGTTGTTATTTTTGCGTACTTTTTGAGGTAACCTGGCGCTAAATCAAAAAGTTGTTGCAAACTACTACTAAGGCTGAACCAAAGTAGAAATAAACATTAGTTTCACACATTCGCACACATTCCAATAGCCAAATAAATATTTTTAATTGATTGAACTTCACAAAAAGAAATTCTTGCAATATTATTCATTACATATTCAAGGAATTGATTGAAATGCATTTGTGAAACCGTGTATCGATAACTGAAAATGTTAACCCAATATTATACAGTGCGTCTCAAAAAAACGCAACAAACAAAATCATTGCAATACCACTAATTCAGACGTTTAGCTTAACAGAAGATTTTCTTAACGTGTACTTGAGCGTGACTTTTGCGTTCAGGTTCACAGTTTGCATTTGAATGTGCAATGTACTTAACCTCTCCAATAACTGCTCTGTAAACGTCATGTGTGAAAATTGAAACTAAGATTGTTGCATTTTTGTCATGACTTAAAAAAAATTCATAAGTTACTTGAGTTTAACTTATATTCTACTATATTTAATCATTGTGTTTGTCTTCAATTAATTCAAAATACATGATTCATAAATGTTTGCAAAAATATTGTTATGGTTGTAGATAATCCATTGACCAAGAACAAACCCAAATTACCCTTTTTCAATTTTAAGCAAACCTATTCTTGTTTAAAATTAAATATTTGAAGCTGTTCTTGAGGTAAGTAGGACAATTGGTACAATTTCTTGGTAAAAGTAAAGATCAATTGGATTTGGGAACACCATCACATCTCTTTCTATAAAAGACCATTCAACAATTACTAACCATCATTTAAAGGAACTCTATTCATAATTTCAGCATTCTTTGGCAAAATCGACTTAAGTTAGATGTTTTGGTGATTTTTGGATCCCTTGTCATCTAAATTATGCATTGCCCCTTTAAGGAAGTGATGCTGTTCTTTTAATTTAACAATAACCTATTGTTATGGTCACTGTTTGGGAAATTAGTTCAAATTTTAATCTAGGCCAAAGGTCAAGAACTAGGTCCTGTCAATTATCTTCATTGTTATTTGTCCCAACTTCTTGATCTCTTTCTTGAACATGTAGCTTAGAAAAAAACAGATTACACTTAAATGAAATGATTTGCTTCGAAATTGCAATGGCTTATACATGATTTCTGTCGCAGTGTTACAACACCCAATCATATTGCGAGTTCTTCATCGGGGAAATGGTAACTTCTTATCGCAGGGGGTAAAAAGAAAGAATATATTCTGGATTTTGAAGCCCTGTGATTGGAGGATGTATTTGAGAGGGTCAAAAAATTAACTTATCAGTTGTGAATTTTCTCAGAAAGCGTATCTGCAAACCAAATTTCAAACAGACTTTTTGTTTAGATTCTACGCCATTTTGAAATTCGCATTTGCAAGTATCCACAATGCAGATCCATCAAATATGCTTTCAAAAATTCCTACCTACTTAGCTACTTACTCAACTAGAAATTCGCATTTGCCTCTATCCATGAGGCAGATCCATCAAATATATTTTCAAAAATTTGTACCTACCTTGCTACCAACTGAGTCACTTACTCAATTACTCAATCATCTACTTACTCACCTTCCTACTCAGTTACTCAATTTTTTAGCAACTAGGTGGTGACATTTTGTCATGTTAATACCTTTTTTACTGTTCATTTGGTGCTTTTTAAAAGCACACAAGTGATTTTCTGCACTGTGCATTTATACAAGTACAAGCATTCACAAGAAGCACTTTGAACTGGGATATTAAGACCAGTACTTACACCACTACTAATCTAATCACAAGGGATGGTTTTCAAACAGCTTTAGAATAATATGTTAATTATCCCATCGGACAAAGTTTGTAGGGATATAGGGAAGGCCTCTGTCTGTCGGTACATCTGTCCGCCCGTGCAATACCTCAAATACCGTTGGCCCAATTTTGTTGATATTTTGTACACATATCCTATGGGGGTAGAAGTTCTGCCCTAAAGCCGATTTTCAAAATGGCGGCCATTTGAGTGCCGATTTTACAGTAATTCAGGTACACTATATTAAAGTAAGCATGGCCCAGTGTCTAATGCCACTTTTGGTAGAAGGTAGCCATTTTAATGCATTTTTCTATAACTCTAAAAGTAGTTGAGCGATTTTGTTAATATTTGGTATGTGAATACCATAAGCATGGCATACTAATGACTCTTTTGTTTGGTAGAAGGCGGCAAATTTTATAGAACATTAATAAATTAGACATTAAAGCACATGGCAGCCATCTTGAAAAATGGCGGCCTCTATGTGCTATTTTACGATTTTAGCTGCAACTCGAAAAGCATGGCCCACTGTCTAATGACTCTTTTGGTAGAGGGCTGCTATTTTGAAAAATGGCCGCCATTTGAACGTATTTTACTATAACTGAAAAGTAGTTGAGCGATTTTGTTCATATTTGGTATGTGAATACTATAAGCATGACACACTATCTAATGACACTTTTGGTAGAAAGTTTGCCTTTTTTCAAAATGGCCCCATTTAAACGTATTTTACTATAACTCGAAAAGTAGTTGAGCGATTTTTTCATATTTGGTATGTGAATACTAAAAGCATGGCACACTGTCTAATGACACTTTTGGTAGAAAGTGGCCATTTTGAAAAATGGCTGCCATTTTTGCTTCATACTTTGTTTGTAAAAATGCCAGCCATGGCTGTTCGATAGGATTTGCTACACTTTGGCGTTGCTTGTTTGTAAAAATGCCAGCCATGTCTGTTTGATGGGATTTGCTACATTTTGGCGTTGCTGTTGTTTTTCATATGTGATATCAATAAGGCAGTGACTGACGATTCATTAACGAAGAATGTTTTATTACATGATACTTAGGGTATTTTTATATTTTAAATTGATCTAGCTTTGTGAAGGGAATTGTTGACTTTTTATTATATCATTTTTTTGTCTTCAGGCTGATTGTGCTGTATTGATCTGTGCTAGCAGTGTTGGTGAGTTTGAAGCTGGTATATCCAAAAATGGTCAGACCAGAGAACACGCTCTGCTTGCTTACACCCTTGGTGTAAAACAGCTGATCATTGGAGTCAACAAGATTGACAACACTGAACCACCATACAGTAAGGCACGTTTTGAAGAAATCCAAAAGGAAGTGTCCTCTTATGTTAAGAAGATCGGTTACAACCCAGATACTGTACCATTCGTCCCAATTTCTGGATGGCATGGAGATAACATGTTGGAAGAAAGTGCCAATACCTCTTGGTTCAGCGGATGGAAGGTCACAAAGGCTAAGAAAGAGTACAGTGGTATGTAATCATGCATGTAAACCCTGAACTGATCATATTTAAGAACACAGGGGTTTATAGTTTCAAGTAGAAACTTCTGACAATTTGGGTATATCACTAACCTTGACAAGAGGAAAGTAGATATATTGTATCGGTTTTGTAATTTGGGCCTTATAAAATTCAAAATGGCCGACGCCTTATATTGAATTTCGCAATAACTTTCTGATCTCTTCAAAGTATGGCTATATTCTTTTCAAATTGAACGAAATGTAGGGCAGATCACTATTTGTTATTGTTTTCCTGATTTGTGCCTCAGAAAATTCAAATTGTTAGAAGAAATTCTGATATATCTCTGATGTTTCCAATATTTATATTTTTGTGACAAATTCAATTCAATTTATTTATTTCATAATTCTTATATAATATACACTATAAAAACAAGCCGCTACTGATTCATATATGCTATAGTGTTCGTTGGGATTCGCAACTCCATGGAGTTGCAGTTTTCTAGTTCAGTTTTAAGAAAAGCCAGTATAAGATCAAAAGACAAATTACAAAAAAAGTTATTAAAAAGATTCTTACCTCTTAACAATTTAAAGGTTTACAAGAACCTTGTCTGATGGAAAATATCAAATTTTGGTTTAAATATACATTTTATGTAAATTTGATGTCCTCTTTGTATTTCAGGAAAAACTCTTGTTCAGGCTCTTGACAACATTGATCCCCCCAAACGTCCCACAGACAAGCCACTCCGTCTGCCCCTCCAGGATGTTTACAAGATAGGAGGTATTGGAACAGTACCAGTAGGACGTGTTGAGACTGGTGTGCTGAAGCCTGGTATGGTGGTATCATTTGCCCCTAATGTAGTTACCACTGAGGTAAGAGTGCTAATAAATGTTGATCAATCTTGATATCTATCCCATCGAATATTGTTTGGAGGGATATAGGGAACGTCTCTGTACAAACGTATGTCTGTCCGGGTGATAATTCCAATACCATTGATGCGATTTTTTCATATTTTGTACACGGGTGCTCTATGGGGTAGAAGTTCTCTGCTCGACAGCCAATTTTCAAAATGGCTGCTCTTTTATTTAAAAATGGCAGCCATTTTAGTGGCGATTTTACAGTAGTTTAGATCCTGTATATGAAACTTAATAGGAATATCTTTTAAATGTAAAATAGATAGGGCATTAATAAGCTAGAAATGAAGATATTTAGATATTTAAAAAATACTTTGGGCAGTCATGTTGAGAAATGTGGGCCTTTACACGCTATTTTTTGTCTCCACTAGGGGTCCCACGATACATTATGAAACGATACGATACGTATCTCGATACTCGGGTCACGATACGAGCAACGATACGATACATAAATAGCGTGTAGTTGAACCGGGGGGGGTGCAACACTGACGTAGCTGAGGTCGAGTTTTAAAGTCTATCACTTGCTGTGACATTTGATTCAGATGCAGTATAAAAACTTTAGTCTAGTATCAAGCCTACCTGTTGTATAGTAGTCCCTTATCTAGTCTATGCATTGCATTTTGCAATTTTTTTAAGTCCGTCTGTGCTTTCCCTTTAGGCTGAGGAATGTTCAAAAGTACTACAGTAGATTTTCTATTGGGGGATATAATGATAACACAACTACCCATGTTTGATGCTTACACGGCCATAATTCTATCAAGTGTGTTCAAAACTTTCAAAAAGTTTCAATTTCTAACCTCCGGTCAACATTAATACTCAGAACGTAAATATTGTTCGTTTTTTTATTAGAGTTATCAATAAATTGAACGCGTTCTATCCAATAAAAAGTTCAAAGATTATATTTATTCATACTAAATTGTCAAAAAGTATATAGAATTATAAAACAAAGTACGTTGATATACGAAGACATAGAAGGCACAAGTTATTTGTTCGCATTAAGACTGTCAATCCGCAAAGCATTCTGTTCGCATTTATACAACATTTTGGGCGTGTCATGTTCAGTGAGAAACCAAACAAAAGATATAAAAACAATTTCTCAAAAAAGCCAAATATTCAGTAGATTTCGGCAAAATATGATGGATTTCAGGTATGTTAATAGTATTTTTGGTGTATCGATATTTGAGTCTTCGTATCAATACGCTCGTATCGTCACCAAACGAGCTGATATATCGATGAATCGCGGGACCCGTAGTCTCCACCATAAAGTGGTGACATATTGTTATGGTGTCCTTTTTTGACGGTGGTCTTACGACTTCCAATAACTTAAAAAATACTGTTAAGACTGACTTCAATTTTTTTACAAAATCATCTACATGTTTTCAGAAGTTCAAGTATGACTTTATATTGAAGATTTGACCTTCAATGACCTTCTCAAGGTCAAAAAGGTCTTTTTTCAACTTGCTTCACATTGACCCATTTTTTTCAAAATCATCTACAAGTTCTCAACAGTTCAAATCTGACTATAGATTTGACCTTCAATGGCATTTTCAAGGTCAAAAAGGTCTTTTTCATCTTGCTTCAAATTGACCAATTTTTTTTCAAATTATCTTCATGTTCTCAGAATTTCAAATCTGACTTTAGATTCGAGATTTCGCCTTCAATGACCTTCCCAGGCTCAAAAAAGTTATTATCCCATTGAACGAAGTTCGGAGGGATATAGGGAACGCCTCCGTATGTCCGTCTGGGCAATAACTCAAATACCGTTGGCCCGATTTTGTTCATATTTTGTACACATATACCCTATGGGGGTAGAAGTTCTGCTCGAAGGCCGATTTTCAAAATGGCCACTCATTTCAAAATGGTGGCCATTTTAGTGTCGATTTTGCTGTAATTTAGGTGCAATATGTAAAACTCTAATAGCAATATGTTATAAATGTAAAAAAAAGTATATAGGACATTAATAAAGCTAGAAATGTAGATATTAAAAAGCACATGGCAGCCATCTTGAAAAATGGCGACCTTTACTCGTTATTTTACGATTTTTGCTGTAACTCGAAAAGTAGTGGAGCGATTTTGTTCATATTTGGTATGTGAATACTATAAGTGTGGCACACTGTCCTATTACACTTTTGGTAGAAGGCGGCCATTTTGAAAAAAATTTTGAAAAATGACTGCCATTTTAACATATTTTACTATAACTTGAAAAGTAGTGAAGCGATTTTGTTCATATTTGGTATGTGAATACTAAAAGCACGGCACACTGTCTAATGACACTTTTGGTAGAAGGTGGCCATTTTGAAAAATGGCCCCATGGTATTTTACTATAACTTGAAAAGTAGTTCAGCGATTTTGATCATATTTGGTATGTTTCATATATTTTATATGTGAATACTATATAAGCATGGCACACTGTCTAATGACACTTTGGGTAGTAGGTGGCCATTTTGAAAAATGGCCACCATTTTTACGTTTTTTACTATAATTTTTTGAAAAGTAGTGAAGCGATTTTGTTCATATTTGATATGTGAATACTCATGAGCCTTGCACACTGTCTCACGACACTTCAGATAGTAGGCAGCCATTTTAAAAAATGGATGTCATTTTTATTACATTTTTTACTATAACTCGAAAAGTAGTGGAGCAATTTTGTTCATATTTGACATGTGAATACTCTAAGCATGGCACATTGTCTAATAAAACTTTGTACTCGGCCATTTTGAAAAATGGCCACCATTTTTATGTGTGTTATTTTACAAGTACATGTGTGCGATTTTTCAAAAATTTTATGTGTGGCTACTTAAAAGCATATAATTTCTTCTGATGACAACTTGGCTAGTGAGCAACCATTTTGAAAATGGTGGCCTTTCTGGTGTGTTAGTTTATGATATTTGCTATATATTTCGTTTGTAAAAATGCCAGCCATTTCTGTTCGATGGGATTCGCTACGCTTTGGCGTTGCGGTTGTTCTGTTTTTTCAACTTGACCAGTTTATTTTTTCAAAATCATGTTCAAGTTCACAGAAATTCAAATCTGACTTACGGTTGAACTCTTAATTTTGTCATGTTAATGCCTTGTTCGAATTTTGCTGTAATTTTTAGGAAAAGTAGTAGGGCGTTTTTGTTCCTATTTGATATGTGAATACTAAAGCATGGCACTGTTTTATGACACTTCGGCTAGAAGGCGACTATTTGTGTGTTATTAATATAATATAACTCAAAACGTAATAGAGCGATTTCTTTGATGGCAGCCATGACTGTTTGATGGGATTTGCTATGGTGGTGCTGTAATCTTGTTCTAAATTATTTGCTTGATGACAAAAGCATTACTATTGTGATAGTAAACTGATTATAAAACATAATATGAATATCATTGACAAGAATAAAAAAGAAAATTATGATTTCAAATCCATTATAATTTTTTTTTTAATTTATCATAGTTCTTTAGTTAACGATGTATCTGCTCATTGAAAATTTTGTGTAAGATATTGCTTTACTTTCGATTGCAGTGCAAATCTGTAGAGATGCATCATGAATCCCTTACTGAGGCTACTCCAGGAGACAATGTCGGATTCAACATCAAGAACGTATCAGTAAAGGAAATCCGTCGTGGTAATGTTTGCGGAGACTCCAAGAATAACCCCCCTAAAGAGGCCAAGACCTTTATTGCTCAGGTATGTACTCAATGTAATAAACCCAGTTTTTTTGATAAAGGACATTTTGTATGTAATTTGCAAGTAAGTGATACTTACATTGAATTGAAGGAAAATATTAAATTACTGGGGTAAGGCTGACTGTTCATACTTTTTGGAAAAAATAGCGCGAATGTTAGAATTTTCTTTTCCTGGTGAGAACCCTGTGGTGAATAGTTCAACCTTAAGAATGCCGATTTATTTTGGCCATTGTATACCAAGTGATTGACTTATTTTGCAAAAATGATATTCTAGACTTATGATAAATATCTGGATAACTACTGAATGATTTTAAACATTGTGTCCCATGCAGATTCACAAGATTATGCATGCATTCAAGGATTTCATTCTACGAAACCGAAAACACCTAGAAAGGCATAAGATACTTTGTCTGATTGTATTGTTTAGTATATTTTTTTTGAAAGTGCCTTAGTAACATCTAACATTCAACCGATAAAATATTAATAAGGAACAGACAAATAAAAACAAATACATAATCATTACTAATAAGCCAATTGGTTGCTCATGAACACCAAATGCAAGGTTTAGTAGAGTGGATTTATGAAATACATTTTCAAATAAAGGATGAATCGGAGATACTTTAATTTTGTAGATCTTAATTAAACCATGTTTCTATTCTATTTCAGGTTATCATCCTGAACCACCCTGGACAGATCAGCAATGGATACGCCCCAGTGTTGGATTGCCATACAGCGCATATTGCCTGCAAATTCAGTGAGATCCAGAAGAAGATTGATCGACGATCTGGAAAAGAACTTGAGGATGCCCCCAAGTTTGTCAAATCTGGAGATGCTGCCATCGTCAACATGACACCCCAGAAGCCCATGTGTGTGGAGTCTTTCTCTGAGTTCCCACCCCTGGGACGTTTCGCTGTACGTGACATGAAGCAGACTGTGGCTGTTGGAGTCATCAAGTCTGTAGAGAAGGTAGAAAAGGCTGGCAAAGTGACAAAGGCTGCAGCCAAGGCCGGCAAGAAGTGATGGTTGTGGACATTGCCTAATCTCAGTCAGTCCAAAAATGACAGCAGAACCCAGAACCCCAGGAGTAACTTAAAAAACTTAAAAACTAAATGTATTTCAAGTAGAGCTATGTTTATTCATGCAGAGAACATTGTACGTGATCATCAGTCTAATCAGATGAAGAGACAGTATAGAATGATTAATCAACCGATGCCGCTTGTGATTTTAATTTCTTTACCAGTATGGTTAATTAGGTCTAAACACCATCGGAAAGAATTCCGAAGGAAAGGTAGCTAAACCAAGTACCTTAACTTATGTGCTTGTTGCAATGTAACATGCTGTGGTGATGATTTTATTTTTTTTAAACAATGTACGATCATGTACACACAATTATGCTAAATAAACTATGGTCTTATGTATACATCTCACTCCATTTTGTTTTGTAACTTGAAATTATTTTATGACATTTAAAATCCATGTATCTAACTTTTCCGTAGTGCCATTGTTAAAAGATTGACACTTACTATATCTGTATATGTGGTATTTAGATATACTCCTCAAAAAAAGTTACGGACCAGTATTTTTCCTCATAGGTTTACATGATTTTCAAAGCCTAAAACAAAAGAAAAACTGATAATGTCAATGGATATGTACCGGACTCTATTCTCTGTATTTCAGAAAATTTTCCATCTCCGTTACAATATTTGAGGAATTTTAAAAAATGGCAGAACCCACGTAAACCAATGGGAAGTAGTTGGGTTGCCAAAAGTCATGAGAAAACATTCATCCATTCAATTGCTCTCAAATATGGAATTTAAAAAGACTATTGAATTTGCTAACTTGTCTGCAACAAAACATTGATTTGTTTCTCCAGGTTTTACAAAGTTGTGAATATCAAAAGTCTAGATCATTTCTCCATAAACCTCCCATTGAAATAACACCTTAACACAGGGGTCAAAAATGAGTTGATGCTCTAAAGGGCGTATAAAAAACGCAACAAGTAGTTCTCTCGTAAAATCACAAAACTTGTGAGGACTAGGTCATTCATTCACATGTAATGGTTGGGTGAATAATCATTCCATTTGCACAGTGGGTCAAAATCGGCTTTGGACCAAGTTTTAGAAATTGAAAAAATCAGTGAAAGGGTTGAGTGCCAATGGAAGTTCCCCCGACTTGATTTGTTGTGACTTTTTCTTTTGGAGCTATCTCAGAAGCATCTGCCCTCGCAATTCCTCCACCAGATATTGCAAAACCTCGAAAAAGAATCGCCAACAGGCTGCTTTTCCCTGCTTTAACTCACAGATGACTCGGGGCTGAACCATGCATGTTGGGACAGATGAGTGCATCTTAATGTGCAAGGAAGTGGTGGCAATTTGGAAGGGTATAGGATGTATTGCAAGAGTATGAACACCTCAGTTTACTGTCTATGCTACACCTTGTACTGACATTTGCAATGTTTAAAACTTGGGTTCGAGCCCCACTTTGCAAAATTAATGATTATTCGGCCAGAGATGACTCGCTGTGAATGAACGATATTCCACTGCAAAGAGGAGTAATTTGGCTTTTTGGTACATTGAAGGAAAAGGATGCAGTCCGCATTGGTTTTATGTTTTCTTCCAATATTGCACCGGGCTCCGAACACCGACTTTTGCGATGTTTATAACTTGGTCCCAAGCTAATTTTGGCCCACTTTGCAAATGGAATCACTTTGCAAATGGAATGATTACTTACCCAACCATGACCAAATATCAATGAATGATATATCATTGTAAAGAGCAGAGGCCTCATCACGCGCTCGTCGCAAGATTTGCGTTGCGTTTGCGAATCGACAATTTGCGCTAGCGCAACTCCCGAGTCATTGTGAGTTGCGTCTCATCACACACCCATCGCAACGCAGATCGCAACGTAAGTGGTAGATTACCACATGCGATCGCAAAATTATAATTCCAACTTAATATATAAATTGGCGGGGAAGTCATTAATAAAATACAATGTCCGTGTCACAGAACTTTTTTGATGCCCATGGACTAACCGGGGCTTATTAATCAAATACTTATCTCAAAAAATATCAATTAACGTGTAACGATATAACACATAATCACTGGTCTTAAAGTACAATCTTCATGGGCTTTATTTCTAAGTATATTGTTCTTGTACATCATTCAGTCATTACATGAATCTCGCGATCGGGAACCCATTAATAGTTGAATATCAGTACAAATTCTCACCCGAGTGCACCCTTGTCATCACATACTCTAATCCTAGTGCACCCTAGTCATTACACACTCTCATTCGGGTGCATCGTAGTTGAGTGTGCTATCACGAGGGTGCCCCAGTTTTGAGAGTGTACCCACAAGGGTGCACTCGTCTTGTGAAAGTATTTACTGTCGAAGGTGCACCCGGGTCGCAGGTTAGAGCATGTATGACGTGGTTTTACACCGGTGAGAGAGTGTACCGAGAAGGATGCACTCAGATGAAAGTCTGTACAGACGAAACTTTACTCGGATAAGAGCGTGTTCTGACTGACGACTGTCCACTCGGTCGAGAGGATGGACCGCAGATCAATTCAGTAAATTTCTGCGGCGAGCGTAGAAAAATTACGGTCGAGCCTTGCGGTCTCCGTAAGGCGTCCAGTTTTTTACAGTCCGCAGGGTAGCTGTAAAAATTTGAACTCGGAGATAATATTTGTTCATTCCTGCGGTCCCCGTAGAAATCAATAGACCGTTGCCAGACCGCAGAAAGGTCTAACGGTGGCCGCACGTCGGTTTTGCCGTTAACTTGCTTCTGTTGTAGGGTTTGATGGGTAATGTACCTTTGAAAACAGTTTTTATGTCAGTTTTCGGTGATATATTTGCTATAAACAATGCGTATACTGTTTGATGTGAGGTCACTTATACCACAGCAACTTTTTATTCGATACTATATCCCAACACTACAAACACCATTAAGTACTGATGTAGATAAAATAAAAAGCAAAATTAACGTTAATCAACAGAAATTCAAGAACTCACAGGGCGGCTGCCGTAGAAAATGTGACTGTAAAAGAAGTATCCGACTCAGAAATTCTACGGAGAGCGTAGAAAACTAGAAATGTTACTGACGACCGCAGAAATGATAGACCGCACGGTCGCCATAGATAATGTGGCTGGGAAGTAAAGGACCATTTGCACCTTTCTACTAAAATTCCAATATTCCAACGCAAATGAACGTATATGATGCCATCGAAACCTCCAATTTAACAAATACCGATTTTCGTTCGATGGTGGGTCAATGTAATTTCTCATTTCATTTCAAAATACCCCCATGGACGTATTTCGAGGGAAATTATACATTCAAGTTGACCTTGGCCAAGGGTTTCATTAAGTGAAATTCCTGGATGTTATCTACATGCTAGTATTTACTCTACTTTATACTATTACCTTTTAATATAAATACCTTGATCCACGGAAGTCAGCCTGCATAATCGAGAATTACAATACACTGTACCTTGACATAATAGTTGACACCTCTCCCACCACCTCGAGACAGATACTTGGAAAGAACCTCAAAGTTATGCTAATTTTTAGCGATGCTGGGAATGAATGTTGCGTTTCGTTTTCTTGGATTTGCGATCAGAATTTGGATTTAATTATAAAATTCGAAGGTTTTAAACACCCCTCATACCATTAACGTTTCCTTTGATTTAAGCACTTTCAAAAAACATAAACTAAGACATAAAATAAGACTCATTTTATTTTGATAAAAGGTTCTGTTTTTAACCAACATGGCATTGTGGATACTTTCGATTAGATGCACCTTAATGTAAGAGTGCCACTGTTAAAAAAGTTTATATCTAAATAAATAAATAAAATAAATAAATAAACTAACTTTTTATTACACAGTCGCCTTGAGAAAAGAACACACTTACGCAATCAATAAAGAAACTCCCAGATTGACACATTTGAAATAGATAACAATTGTCTTAAAGATGGGTAATATTTGCGATTTGCGACAGGGTAAGAGCTATCGCAACATTTTGGTCAGTTGCGATTGAAAATCTTCCAATTTGCGATTGCGTTGCGCCGAGCGGATGATACAAATCCTGAAATGCGATTTGCCAAAACTTGCGTTGCGGTGCGCTTGCGTTGCGACGAGCGGATGATGAGGTCTGAGGCCTCCTAGACTTCCAACAACGCGAACATCAGTTCTGATACCGCGAACTACGTTCCTTGCGCTCGAACCACGATTCTTACATCGCGAACGTGAAATCTCTGACCGCGAACCACCATTTCCTTGTTTCCGAACATATTTCTTGGCCTGTTGCGTTTTTTTTATACGCACTGTTTATCTGTAATTCTCACAAAGTAAGCTTAACACCAAACATGCAGAAAGTAAAACAAATCAATTGTCTACTCAGAAATTATTTTTAATAAATGTTTTACCGAATAGATATCCAAAAATCTGATTTGCCCCTAACCCACATTTTCCCATTGGTTAACATGTGTTCTGCCATTTTCTAAAAATTCCTCAACTTTGACATCAATTTTTGACCTATTGTAATAGAGAGATTAAATTGAAAATTTCCTGAAATATAGAGAACAGAGTCAAGGTACATATCCATTTACACGGTGCCGATTTTACAGTAATTTAGGTGCAATATGTAAAACTGCAATAGCAATATGTTTTAAATGTAAAAAAAATTATAAAGGACATTAATAATGCTACAAATGTAGATATTAAAGAAGCACATGGCAGCCAACTTGAAAAATGGCGGCCTTTACTCGTCATTTTACGATTTTTGCTGTAACTCAAAAAATAGTGGAGCGATTTTGTTCATATTTGGTATGTGAATACTATAAGCATTGCACACTGTCTAAAGACACTTTTGGTAGAAGGCGGCCATTTTGAAAAATGGCCGCCATTTTAATGTATTTTACTATAACTCGAAAAGTAGTGGAAAGATTTTGTTCATATTTGGTATGTGAATACCATAAGCTTGGCACACTGTCCTATGACATTTTTGGTAGAAGGCGGCCATTTTGAGAAAAATGTGAAAAAATACTATAACTCGAAAAGTAGTGGAGCGATTTTGTTCATATTTGGTATGTGAATACTATAAGCAGGGCACACTGTCCTATGACACTTTTGGTAGAAGGCGGCCATTTTGAAAAAATTTTGAAAAATGGCCGCAATTTTAACATAATTTTCTAATGACACTTTTGGTAGAAGGTGGCCATTTTGAAAAATGGCAGCCATTTTAACGTATTTTACTATAACTCGAAAAGTAGTGGAGCGATTTTGTTCATATTTGATATGTGAATACTTTAAGCATGGCACATTGTCTAATAAAACTTTGGGGAGTAGTCGGCCATTTTGAAAAATGGCCACCATTTTATGTGTGTTATTTTACAAGTACGTGTGCGATTTTTCAAAAATTTTAGAGGTGGCTACTTAAAAGCATATTATTTCTCCTGATGACAACTTGGCTAGTGAGCAACCATTTTGAAAATGGTGGCCTTTCTGGTGTGTTGTTTTATGATATTTGCTATTCATTTGTAAAAATACCAGCCATTTCTGTTCGATGGGATTCGCTACGCTTTGGCGTTGCCGTTGTTCTGGTTAATTATGCACCAATTCTAATAAAATATGGCTCAAAACACTGAATATTAAATTTCTTTTTGATTTTTGTAAGACATTTTTAAGATGCCCTTTAACTGTTGAATGGTTAAAACTGCCTCCAAATGGTCAATGGAAATGAAAATTGTGTTTTCTACTCAAATCACGTCCCATTTGTCATATGGTAGGGTTTTAAACTAATATCTCTCACCGAAACCTTTTTAAGATCATCTGATGTGTTTCAAGGCTTTGTATAAAAAACCTTCAACCTCATACCCACCTACGTGGGACATGATACAGTCATTGAAGGGTTTAATTTTAAAGATATCTCGAAACAGCTCTAATTATTAACATTTCCGCAATCCCCGCTTTATTTTATGACTAGACGTACAGATCCATAAATAAAGGCATGTGGGTGCATTGTAATGTGTAATGACCCAAGGGCGCCCCAGGGGAATAACTAACTAACTATCGTCTGTGAGCATAGGTCCAACAAGCCATATAAAGAAATTGAAAGAAAGTGTGCTAAATTCGATGCCCCGAATGGGAATCGAACCCAGCTGGGCTGTAGTAGCAACTTATCATGTGTCTTTACAAATGCTTCTAAAACTAAGATTTAATAAACCAAGATCTTGAACCCTTCAAAGACTGTATCATGTCCAACGTACGTGGGTAGATGGGTATGAGGTGTTTTTTTATACAAAGCTGTGTTTCAACAATTTCCGTGCATCACATTGGTGAAGTTATGCACAATATCTAATTTTAGGCATGTTTGTGTAAGTCTTGTAATTTCTTAAAAATTCAAGACTGCGAATAAATTATGGTATCAACAAAAATTTTAGACCTTTCTCTACAAGATGTGATAATATGAGCCAATCCATGCATGTATTAAGGAAAATATAGCCTGTTGCAGGGGTTCACTTTTTTGAACCACCCTGTATACTGGCTAGGATAGTGTACCCAGAATAAACGTTCTTATACCATCTGTACTGGTTATAAAGATGTAGAGGTAATCGCCTCCAATTGTGAAAAGAACGAATGGCTATAGACGCCCCCGGGGGCACTTAAACTTTGTGAAAAATGCAATGTTGTTAATATCCTTAATATGTAGGATCAAATTGTAGATAAATATTTATATTTTCAAGAAATGCAAAAAGAAACATTTAAGATTTTTTGGTTCACTTCCTGTGAAAATGTGAAATTTTTATCAGTCTCAGAAAATGTCTACAGAATGTATAAACCCAACTTGGCAGATGTCCCATCGTTCGATTGTTTCACTCTATACATTTATTTGATATATCCAAACCGACCGTACATAACTGCTTTATCCTATACCAAATATAGTTTTCAGGGGCATATGGCCATTTCAATAGTACAAGGTGTAAAAATAAACAAATCATTCTTATGCAAAGTCATTTTATTGCATTTCCACTACTTACTGGAAGCCGATGATATGCACCGAAGCGGGAAGATATGTACCGAAGCGGGAGATATGGAGGTTCTGGATATGGAAACCTCAAAATCAGGATACGGGATATATCTTACAAACTTGTTTCCCTAAAACTCTACTTGGCATAGGATAAATAAGGGTTATGTACTGGGAGGTTTTGGATATGGGGTTTATCCAGAGGGACATATGCATATCTACCTTAGGGACCGAAGGTAGATGTGCATATCTCACGAGGGATGAACCCAATATCCAAACTGACCGTATAAACTGCTTTATCCTATACCAAGTAGAGTTTTCTAATTTTTTCTTTTTTTCAATTTTTTCCTATTTTTCAATTTTTTTTTTCGAAGGTTCAGGATATGGAAACGTCAAAATCAGGATACGGGATATCTTACCAACTTATCTCCCTAAAACTCTACTTGGCATAGGATAAATAGTCATATTTCAATAGTCATTGAGTTATCCCAACGAACGAGGTTCGGTAGGGAAAAAGTGAAGCCCTCAGTCCGTCCGCATGTCCATCCAGAAGATAACTCAAATACTAGTGGACAAATTTTCTTCATATTTGGTGGAAAGATGTAAATTGGTAAATAGTTTTACCAAAAAAATATTTTTTCAAGATGGCCGCTGCTTTACGGGATATATCTACCTTAGGGAATTTTTTGCGAGAATCTTATGTTTTTCATTTTAAACCAAAGTTATAAATATTTTTGTTTGAAATTTTGGTAGTATATTCAAAACATCTATCTATTTCACATATATTTCGTGTTTTTCACCCTGACCCCCAAGGGCTGTGTATTGGTTAATTTTGAGATTTTTCTAAAGTATAGCTTCATTATACTCAAATGAAAGGCAATTCAGAGTAGATTGCAAATATTGTATCGTTTTTCTGATTTGGGCCTCGAAAATATCATTCAAAATGGCCGCCTAATGTGTGATTATGCAATAATTTCCTGATCTATTCAAAGTATGGCTATATTATACTCAAATTGAAGGAAATTTAGCGTAGATCACAATCATCCTCCAATCACAGGGCTTCAAAATCCAGAATATATTCTTTCTTTTTACACCCTGCTATAAGCAGTTAGCATTTCCCCGATTAAGAACCCGCAGTCTGATTGGCTGTCGCAACACTGCGACAGAAATCATGTGTAAGTCATTGCGCATAATTAGATCACGTGATTCAGTTTAATCGGGCGCTTCCAAATTGGTTATAGCAGAGGGAAGAAGGAGGTACGGATTCTGGACACCTGTTTAGGAGGATGATCACAATTGTTGTATTGTTTATCTGATTTGTGCCTAAGAAAATTATCCGTAATTATATGTCTGTCTTACTGCAAATCAAGGTTAGAGTAAATGGTAAATATACACTGTTGCTTATATATATGGAATATTATATTTGGCAGCATTTATAGCAGGATGGCAAGTACCATCTTTTAGGCCGACCAATATGCACAGAGTTGTCTGTGTGAATGCATACATTATTACAGCAATATATTTGGATACAAATCAACCTCTTATGGTAGTTCATCCATTCTGTTATAAGTCATAATGGGAACCAGTCAAAAAAGGCACTTTGGCACTTATACTTGGATATTCAGATTGAAGAACAATCACAAATCATTCAGTTGAATCTAGGAGGTCTTCTAGATGGACAAATCCTTTAACTGTCAAAGGTAATGGAAGTTCATCTATACTATTTAAGATACTACGTCCCCTACTGCATCTTATAAGTATCCGCCTAATTACAATTCTACATATCTCCACAAGGCTCTTGTTTTTTTGTTCCCTTTCTATATCAGTGTGTAAGTTCCTGTATTTCCAGTTGTATTTGTCTTGTTGAATATTGAATCCTGCACCAACCACTATAGGAATGATGTCCTTTGGAATGTCATTTCTAAATAGAGATATGATGGACCCATCCTGAAAAATAATTGCTTTATAAATATATCTATTATATTATAAAAGAATCATTCCAGCATACAAATACAAGCCATTAACATGATAAAATGTCACCACCTAGTTGCTCGCAATATTATGAGTTCAATCTTGATTTGTACTTCTGAGAACTTGTAGATGATTTTGAACCTTTTCATCCCATCGAACGAAGTTCGGAGGGATATAAGGAACGCCTCCCTCCGTCCGATCATAATAATAATATGGATGGAAGACGCTTTGAACATCTATCCATCGCGTTGCTTATGACATCCTTCCCATAACCGAGAGTTGCCTAATATATGTGGTGCATTTTCAGAGATCCCGGCTACTGCTAGATAACAGTGGGAAACATTTGACGATGCAAATGCTCGGCAAGAGTACATGGACAGGCATGGTTAGACAAGCATACTAAGATTACCGATTTTCAAAATGGCCACTCATTCAAAAATGGCGGCCATTTTAGTGGCGATTTTACAGTAATTAAGGTACAATATGTAAAACTGTAATAGCAATATGTTTTAAATGTAAAAAATTATATAGGACATTATTAAAGCTAGAAATGTAGATGGCACACTGTCTTGGTAGAAGGTGGTCATTTTGAAAAATGGCTGCCATTTTTGCTATTTATTTATTTATTTATTTATTTATTTATTTGCCAAACACTTTTTAATCAGTGGCACAATGGAAAATTCCAGTGCGGCAGTACATAGAACAAATACATATTCATAAAATACAATACAATACAATACAGATAGATAAAATAAATATGTTAAATTGTACATATGTTATGAGTTTAAAATATCGTTATTAATAGTCACTAAAAATTGTTTGACACACTTGTCAAACAAGAATCCTTGGTCTTTGCCCCAAATACTAAAAACAACATCTCCTAGGCACCACTTTAATTTTTCATTTAAAGGAAGCGTTAAGAACATATTAAATACATCAGGGGAGCATGAGGTTTTAATTCTGTTGTAAAAATCAATCCTTTCACGTTGGTTGTGACAAAGGGAACAAAGTTTGCAAAAACCATCATCGCATTTCCTTCTTTTGAGGTCAGTTCCAATACCTAAACACCCAGTTCTGGCTTTGAACTTCAATCTCTGTCCAACAAAATCATTACTTGAAGTAAGGTAATTCTCCAGAAATGGGGTTTGTTTGATTGATTCATAAAATTCTAGTGAAGATTTCGAGGAACATTCAGATAGAAAATTACTTTTGTGTTGTTGGGAGGATATGGTCAAAAAAGAATCATACCATTCATTGTCATCTCTAAACACAACATCATCAAGGCCATGTTCAATTAAAATGTCTTGTATGTTTTCAAAATATGGCCAACATGTTTTTACTCTTCCCTTGAAATTTTCAAACAGTTTATCAAAAATTGCCTTATGTAGGCCGTTCCTCATGGAGAACTTAAGATATAAAAAATAATCAATTTGTCTTTTCTGAATAATGTTAATAATGCTTCTCCAGCCAAGGTCACCTAACATTGCTGCTTTGGCAGGGTTACATTTAAGTTGAAAAATTGATTTGGCCAATTTATATTGCATTGAAGAAAGGGTCTTTTCAGAGGTCTTGTCAAGAATTAGAACACCACATCCATGCAACAAAGCAGGGAGGTACTGGGAGTAGTATAATGTATTACCAAATGATATTCTATTATAGTTAATATGCTTAGTTAGGGTTGATGCAACTAGATTTCTTAACTTCTTATCCTTTTCTTTTAAAACAACATTCACGTGGTAGTTATCTCTTAATTGCCTATTTAGATGGATGCCAAGATATTTGTAAGTATCAACTTCTTTGATTTCAAGGTCACCTAATACCCAAGTTTTATTTTTATCTATTCGCTTGCCAATAACCATTACTTTAGTTTTATTGGGGTCGAATTTGAATCCCCAGCAAGAACCAAACTGATCTGCAATTTTTAGCATATGATTCAGTTGGCTCTCACTTTCGGCCATAAGAACAATGTCATCAGCAAAAAGTAATGTTGGGACTTTAATGTTATTAAATGGAATACCAAGGTTTTCTTTATTCAGTCTATCAACTAAGTCAGTCATGACTAGTGAGAATAGGGATGGGGATAAACAACAGCCCTGCTTTAAACCAGAAGTACTAGAATACCATGGAGAGGTAAAATTACCAAAAATAACTTTATTACAAACATCCCTGTAAGCCTCATGGAGCAACCGCCATATTTTTCCTTGAATACCCATTTCCCAAAGTTTCACAAATAACATATTGCGGTCAATAACATCAAAGGCCTTAGAAATATCAAAAAATGATAAAAATGTATTTTTCTTAGAGGATTTACGAAGTGAGCATAAACCTTTTAGAGCAAAAATGTGGTTTTCAAGTCTAAGATTTTCCCTGAAAGCTCCCTGGGAATCACCAAGAAGGTCACATGACTCTGAGTTAAGTTTAATTTTACTATCAAGTAGACTAGTATAAATTTTATAGACATTGGAATTCATGGTGAGACCTCTGTAATTATTTAAGTCAATGTTTAAACCTCGTTTGAATAAAGGAACAAGTAATCCTTCTTTCCATTCTGTAGGGATAACTTCTAGGGATTTTACTTTGTTAAAAAGGTCAAAAAGGGAAGAAAACATTGTATTTCCCCCGTATTTAAGAAATTCATTAGGTATATTATCCGTACCACACTTCTTGCCATTATTAAGCTTTCTGAGACATTGCACAAGTTCAGCATATGTAAAGCAGAAGCTGTTTAAGGCATTATTATCATAGTTAGTTTCCTTTAATAAAGAATCTATCTTATCTGATAGATTATTGGAGGTAAACTTTGGATTACGATTATTACGCCCCACCCTTTCCCAATACAAATGTAGAGCCTCAGATATGGCTTTGGGGTCAGTTAAGATCATATCTTTGTTGTTAGGGTCTTGGATTTGAATGGGATATCCATTATTTTCATTGAACATTTTCAATTTTTTCCAGTAGGATCTTGAACATTTAGAAAGTGACCTAGCATTACTAGTTAAAACTTTAATGTGATTCTTTACATGTGATTCAACTATTTTCAACTGAACTTGTTTTTTACGTTCGAGGTATAAGTTCCAAATTTCTCGAAGTATGTCAGGGTCAGCTGACTTTGAACGACTCCAATATCGGTAGAAGCGTGATGCTTCTTTACGATTATTTATTAATAATTTAATTTCTTTATCCCAAAATGAACGATGGTTTGTTGGTACCCTCTTAATCCCAACCCCTATATGAGCAGCCTTCATTATATTCTCTTTGAATGAGGACCATGCATCTTCAATGTTACTGCACTTGGAAATGTCCCAGGAACTAAATTCAGTATTAATGGCGTTTCTGAAGCAATCCCAATCTGTGTTATCATTAATGTTCCAAATTACAGTATCTTCATCTTTATTATCAGGAGGAACATTGGTCTTAAGGTTACCTGACTGAGAGGGCAGTATAGCATTTATAATCATAAAAGAGTGGTCACTACCTAAACTTGCCTCTTCGTGGGTTTCATCAATAATCATATATTGGTACACCTTCATAAAATTATGGTTACCGAAGCAATAGTCAATGGATGAATGTTGAGTTCCCCTTGACCATGTTATCTCACCCTGACAGTTAATAGAGTTTAACATGTGCATGCCTGTGACATCACTGAAAAGATCGATAAGTTTACCATTTTGGCTGCTTTGCCCTTTACAAAATTTGGTTGCCTTCCCATTAAAATCACCCATCAATAAAGTATATGTGTCATCTGATTCAACCTCTGCAACATTAGAGATCAACTCATCCATTAACTTTTCGCTTAAAATTGAATTTTTTCCATCTACGGGAAAGTAAGTAACTCCAAGATTAAGAAAATTATTATTAATTTTAACACGAATCCATAATCTTTCTAGGTCTACTGTTACCATTCAAAAGATGACCATTAAATTGACGATGTGTTAAATTTTTAGATTTTTATGACTGGTTTAAGAGAAACGTGTGTCCTTTCAACAAACTAACTGATGATCATCATACCTTTGATATTGTCTGTACATTTGAGCCGTGTCTTATGAGCAATTTAATTATGTCTGTATGACTTCCAGCGGCAGCTTCATGAATAGGTAACTTTCCACGCTGAAAATATATTTACATATATTTGTTATGTGGATAATATACAGGGTGGTTAAAAAAAATGGAAACCCTAATACCATTTTCCTTATATCTTTGTCATTTTAAGAAATAACTCCCTGATATTTTGGACTTTTGTACATCATTCAATTTGCTACCAGCCTACTTTATTTCCTGACCATCAGCTTGATAGTCACAATGTTACAGTCAGTACTTTAAAGAACATGCCCCAGTGGCCATTATTGCCCTGTTGGGAAACCTGTACTCATCGTCTAAAATGTCCCTACCTGTGGGGATACAGCAGAGATAGAGTATATGAGAATGACATCAGGACAATTTTAAACCTCAAAAGTGAGATCATTCATGTCATTCAGGCCATACCTGCTGAGAAATGCATTTGGGTCATTGACAACTGCTGTTTTGCCTTCAGCGCGATAATGGCCAAATCTGAAGCATGTTATTCAAAGTGCTGTAAAATTGTGACTATCAATCTGATGGTCATGACATATGGTAGGGTGGTAGGAAATTGAATGATGTACAAATGTGTGAAATATCAAGGAGTAATATTTTAAAGTGACAAAGATATAAGGAAAATGCAGGGTTTCTATTTTTTTTGACCACCCTGTACATCGTTGACATTCATGTAAAATGTGAATTTAAGAGACCATTTATAACAAAAGTATAAATAAAAAAGCATTAAAACATATTTCTGAACTTACTACTGTATCTGAGAATCACTGAATAAAATAAGCCAGAAAGTTAAACCAAAAATGTTTTAAAAAAGGTGAAAAATTTGGTAAGATGAGTTTATAAACACTTTTAAATTTGTATCCAAGATCAATAATGTATTTATGTCAGTTGCTCATGATATTGTGTATTTAATTCTAATAATGCTATGCAACATTTTGTTAATTCAGTATTAAGTTACAAGTATCTGGATATGAAGCTGTCAAACAAAACATTTAATAGGAAACCAGATATCTAGCACACAAATGGCATCGAATGAGATTCCTGTTACATTTTTGTTATTCTAATATCAACCTAATTTTAAATACTCTTTTGCATGCATGGGCTTTGCACTTAATTGGAATTAGTATGCCCTTCAGGGAATGGGACCAACCAACTAGGTCGAGAGGCATACTTCCAAGAAAATATTGTACTATTTGATATTTGTAAACAAGAAACCTTTTTGATTTGAATCTGAGTGCAAGAAATGTGGGGTTGTGTATTGCCATGTACACTATATTAATTTTTGTGAAATTTCAGTTAACGGTACTCAGAAAAGCACGAAATATAGTAGCACGCAAAAATTACTGGGGGTACAGTATTTGTGAGTGATTTCTACCAGTAATTTGTCTGCAGCATGTATAAAACAAGGCATTAACATGACAAAATGTTATGAATATTTTTTGACCTTAAGAAAAAAAATCAGTCAATTTGAAGCAAGTATAAAAAAGACCTTTTTTAATTTTTTTAACTTTTTTAACCTTGAGAAGGTCATTGAAGGTCAAATCTTAAATTTTAAGTCAGATTTGAACTTCAGGAAACTTGTAGATGATTTTGAAAATAATTGAAGTCAGTCTAAACAGTATTTGTTAAGCTATTGGAAGTTGTAAGAATTCGTTACAGATGCCGATTGCCAACCACCAACCGCCAACCACCACCAAGTGCCATCTGCCAATCGCCCTCACAAAAAAATGGATCGCCCTCACAAAAGATGGAGACCATAACAATATGTCACCAATTTTTGGTGGTGACATAATTACAGAAATGATTAGAATTCAAGAGAAATGATCAAAATTCAAGATTCTGCAATTCTATGCCTGAAAGTCTATTCCATTCTGTGCTCCACGCACGCAAAAACCCGAGGAAGAGTGACTACCTTATCAGCTGCATTGATTATGGCACCATTTTTAATGAGGTATTCAGCACTTTCCATAGCATTTAGATTTGCTGCCCAATGTAGAGGCATCCACAGATCCTAGAAAACAAACAAGAATATAAACATACAGTAGTAAAATGTGTTTCAATTGATTAGATGCGAGTAGAAAAAATCTTAATTTACATCATTAAATATTCAAAATTCAGTCAAAAGTCTAACTTGAAATCTACATGTAAAAGTATGTCTAGAAATATGGTTTTAAAATTGTTTATCAACTTTGAAATTTTTTAAAAATCTGACATCTAGTTCGGGGAGATTCCCCATAGACACCATGTTATATAAAATTAGTACCGTGGGTACTGGGCTCACATGGTGACAGAAAAACAGGATATAATTTTTTGCTGATTGAAATTATTTCAAGCCACTTGCCACTATTTTGGACTGACTGAGAGACAGATGGACAAATCTATGTTAAGTAAAATGGCTGAGAAAAAAAACGGATATAATTTTTTGCCAATTATTTGGAACAAAATTATTTCATACAACTACTCTTTACAGTGACATGGCTTTTTGCAATGCAAGACACCTGAAATTATATGTAAAGCTAGGAAATAGGTCAAAATTGAATTTCGCGAGACAAAAATGGTGACCATTTTGAAATCAGGCAAGCTTTTGAACCAGGAGTCATAGGGGAGTTTTTTTGTATTGATGTTGAACAAAAATAATGTGAAACTGGAATCCTATCGACAGAGGTTTTAAGCAAATGGTTCAAAAGAGGATTTCGCGAGACAGATGGACAAATCAATGTTAACTAAAATGGCTGAAAATAAAAAAACAGATATAATATTTTGCCGATTTTTTGTAACAAAATTATTTCATACAACTACTCTTTACAGTGACACGGTTTTTTACAATGCAGGACAGCTGGAATTATTTGTAAAGCTAGGAAATGGGCAAAAAGTGAATTTCGCGGAACAAGAATGGCGACCATTTTGAAAATAGGCGAGCTTTTGAAACAAGAGTCATAGGAGAGTTTTTTGTATTGATGTTGAACAAAATTAACTTAAAACGGAAATCCTATCGACAGAGGGTTTAAGGTAAATGGTCCAAAAGTGGATTTTGCGAAACAGATGAACAAATCAATGTTAACTAAAATAGCTGAAAATAAAAAAATGGATACAATTTTTCGCTGATTTTTCGTAACAAAATTATTTCATACATCTACTCTTTACATTGACATGGATTTCTACAATGTAGGACACTTGAAATTATTTGTAAAGCTAGGAAATGGGTCAAAAGTGAATTTCGCGAGACAAAAATGGCGGCCATTTTGAAAATAGGCGAGCTTTTGAACCAGGAGTCATAGGGGAGTTTTCTGTATTGATGTTGAACAGAAATAACTTAAAACAGGAATCCTATCGACAGAGGTTTTAAAACGTGCCACTGTTATTGACGGAAATTGGATTTCGCGAGTCAGATAGACAAATCAATGTTAACTAAAATGGCTGAAAATAAAAAAATGGATATAATTTTTCGCTGATTTTTTGTAACAATATTATTACATATATCTACCCTTTACATTGACATGGATTTTTACAGTGTAGGACACCTGAAATTATTTGTAAAGCTAGGAAATGGGTCAAAAGTGAATTTGGCGAGACAAAAGTGACGGCCATTTTGAAAATAGGCGAGCTTTTGAACCAGGAGTCATAGGGGAGTTTTCTGTATTGATGTTGAACAGAAATAACTTAAAACAGGAATTCTATGGACAGAGGTTTTAAAACAAATGGGTCAAAAGTGAATTTCGCGAGACAAAAGTGGCGGCCATTTTGAAAATAGGCGAGCTTTTGAACCAGGAGTCATAGAGGAGTTTTCTGTATTGATGTTGAACAGAAATAACTTAAAACAGGAATCCTATCGACAGAGGTTTTAAAACGTGCCACTATTGTTGACAGACGGACAGACAGACGGACAGACAGACGGACGGACAGACAGACGGACAAGTGAGTGATTGCAAAAGCTCACCATGTGAGCTAAAAATCACAAAAAGTGAAATACCTTTTCTTGTAATAGACAGGTAACATTTTCTTTTACTGGACATATTTTAATTTGCATAACGATTTGATACATTAAGGTGATATGAATATTGAACCTCTAAACATATAAATATACAGGCCCGTAGCCAGGATTTGCCAAGGGGGGTTCAGTTTTCAAAAATTTCCAGGGGGGTTTCACATTTGACAATTTTGGCCCAAATATGGCTAAAATCACTTGAAAAGTGCTCAAAGTGGTGAAAAACTGCATGATTTTGAAAGAATTTTTGGCCGGGGGGGGGGGGGGGGTTCGGGCCTGATATATAAGTTAAAGGGAACTTTCTACTATACTTGCCATGCTATCTGATTCGAATGAGCCACCTGGCGGTGAAACAGTTAAACTACCTACTCATATCTTAGTCCTCTCAGGAGGAGATTTGAGACAAAAAATAATCCAAAAGACAAAGAATTAGTGGGAAATTTCAAATGTTGAAAGTGTAAAGCTGTCAAAACATTGTTCTAATATTAATTGTATCTTATATAAGGTGGGGAATTGATGCAAGCAAATGTGCTACCTTTGTTACAGACAATACTTGTTAACATTAAATAACTTACATCATCTTTAACATTGACTTTAGCACCTGCATCCACTAACTTCTTGACAATGTTAACCTTGTTCTTCCAGGCAGCCACATGGAGGCATGTACGATAGTCCTAAAAGCACAAAAGATAAAAATGCTGAAAACAAACAAACAAACAAACAAACAAACAAACAAACAAATACATCCCTTGTCTTTTTTTAAATTCATGAAAAATGTTCACTTGCCTCTTTTGCTCATATCAGTCTCACAGTCTACAAAACATTGTAAACATTGCCCAACTACTAATACATTTGCAAAGAGACATGTTCTCTTTAGAGCAATGTATTCAATTTTGATCATATTAAAAAAACTTGAACTAATCAAGATGCAGTCACGTGAATTTGTTATTAACCTCAAGTGGTCAGTTGTAACCTATCAACAAAAATATCAAATATCACATAAAACCTCCACATTATGCAGAATGTGTTGCTTTTTCTCTCGGATATTACATGTGTTATCAAAATAATAGTCTACCAGTGACAAAATTAATAATGGTTCATTAAACACTACATAATCACTGACAGTCCAAATCCATTCATTAGATAAATTATCTGGTGAATTATTGATTTAAAAAAAGTTTTGAAATAACACATTTACGCAAGTCTGGCAGGAACCAATACATATACATTATACAGCAGCTAGTTTTTCAAGATGGAAGTCATAGTTTGGTCATCAATCATTGTAATATTTTCTTATGGATTACATAAGGCAAATGCTGACATCCCTTCAATAGGTAATCAAAATTTGATTGTTGAATAAAAATGTATAAAACTGTTTAAATGTTTGCAAGAACAATTTCAAAAACAGATAGAATTATACATGTTATATGCTTATTATTTTACAAAGAATTCCATATTAAATGTCTGCAGCTTAATAAATAGAATAAACTACTTAAAGAATCATCAAGTCATTCGTAACTTTTATCATTCTTAAACAAATTTGGACTTGTGACATCATCTTACATCATTATTTACCACAAATAAAAACATGCCGTCATTTAATATCATTGCGCGCTGTGCTTAATAAATAATAATAAACCTGTCTCCGCGATCTCAAAGATTCCCAGCTCAGGAACATATCTGCTAATCATGTAAGAATTAGTGGATATTTCAGCTTGAAACTTTGCATGCATATAAAAAATTATTTGTTTTTGTCAAACTGTATACCTTACATAAAGAAATGAATGAGAAATATGCGGCATTCGCAAAGTTATGAAGGGGTCTGAGCCCTGAGTTAAAGTTACAAACGAAGACATATGGGACATCATTTTTTCATAACTTTGCGAAATCGTTCATAACTTAATGAAAGTTCAGTTAATGCATATTTACCAAATTCGTAAAATTAACAATTGATTTGCGAATTCGTAACTTTATGAAAGTTCTGTTAATGACCCCCAGATCTTTTTGGATGTGATGTGAAAATTTGATTAGAAAGCCTTTGAAATGAGAGCATTTTTCCACAAACTCACTGATCTTATTTATCTTTCCAATGAATATGAAAAAGTACTTTATGTACATGTATTAGTTAATATAATATACCCATAGTCAAATATGATTTGTTTTTTTTAGCTTAAACCTCAAGGACCATGATTGTATTGGGGAGAAAATAGAAATTTTCACTTTCACATCTCTTAATTTTATTATACTTGGATGAAAGGCACTTTAAGCAAATATTATATCGTTTTTCTGATTCTGCCTCACAAAATCCAAAATGGGCACCTGTTGTGTAATTTTCTGTGAAAATCTGAGATTTTGAGAATTTCTGGTGTTCAAGTCTTTAATTTTTAGTGTACTTTATTTAGGGACGAATGTATATCCCCACATGATCAGTTATATTTGGGGAGGATGTAAAAAACCTATTATGGGGAGAGTCGATTTCATTGAAGTTTCTCATCTAATCACAATCATTTTTACTAGAATGTGGTGGAAGTAGAGCACAAAATGTGGGGAAGTTTGCAACAGATCCTGAAGAAGAGTGCATATACTACAGATGTACTTTTAAAGGCTGGCTACAAAATACATGTCTTCAGTTTGCCATCCCAAAAACATACAGGAAGAGATATAGTCAAACACCCACCAGACTCAACCCATGCACAAATGCACGTAAAAAGGTGTGCCAAGAATATAGTTCTATAGTTGAGAGAAAGAGTAAGTCAACTAAGATAAAATTATCAAACAAAATAGATTATACTTAAATATAAGGCATTAAAAAATGTCACCACCCGGCATTTGTTACAGTTGCTGAACGCCAAAAGACACCATCGCAAAAAGTTGGGGATAATAATAGCAATACTTCACCACTTATGGTGGTGACAAAATAAATTGATATTGAAAATGACAAATGGTGAACCATATGACTGAATACATATCAATGCAACCATTAAACTACACATCCTGATGATATCTTAAAAGACTGGTGCCCCCTACCTTTCCTCATGGCTTGCATGTATTATTCAAACAAAAATGGGAAGGGGAATACTGTATGGTCTTTTGTACAATGCCCTTTATGATTGGATCCCTTGACAAGACTCACCCTAAAGGTGAAAACAAGAATGATCACACAGCTGTATTTGCTATTATTGCTAGCTGGTAAGGTAAGAGTGAAGGCTACACCCAATCCTCTCCCTGAATGTGTTCTCATGGATGAGTTCTGTAGGGCAACTGAGCAATGCTGCAAGGGCTTGAAATGCTTCATGCAGAAATGCACCCCAGAAGAAGGTACAGTATACTTCCAATAAGGAGCGTTATAGTAAGATACAACCTCTTTTTTGTCTTTGAAAGGACATACCTTATTACATGACATATCACAGTCAATGATAAAATATGAGGGGCATTCAAAATATTCCATGAAATTTAGATGAGATAAATCACCTTTAATACATATGTGTCAACATAAAATTATATGTTCATAGATTTTGCATGTGCAAGGCTGGGTGAAGGATGTAATGGACGACATAAGACAGGACAGGGATGCTGTGCCCAAGACCCTGAAGATGCAACCATCAGTTATCTCCTTCAGTGTGACTCAACTCAAACATGTCAGTATTATTATAGTGAATTATATTAACACATGAAGCATCAGAGTGAGCTATTCTCAGTTAGATATGTCAATATCACATTAAAATATACTAAAAATATGTCATGGCAAGATACCTTTACATATTCAGCTCTTATAATGGCATTACGTTAGCAGTGATTGCCTTCTTTAGGTCAGCAATAATTGTCTGGATTGTTTTGGTACTCACTGTCACTTGAATCCACCTGATTTCATTTTGTGGGGGTTTTTGAAAGACAAATTGTATTCCAAAACAGTCCTCAGACAATTGCTGACCTAAAGAAGGCAATAACTGCAAATGTAATGCCATTACAAGAGCTGAATATGTAAGGGTATCTTGCCATATGAATCCAGTTCTGCCTTGGTCTCAATTGTGGCAAATTGGAGCATGTAATATAAATGATCACAGCTCAAACATGTCACTATTACAGTGGCCTATATTTAAACAGGTCAGTATTACAGTGACCTATATTCAGAAATGTCGATATTACGGTGGCCTACACTCAAATAGGGTAAATGGGAATTTAAAAAAACCTTTAAAAGTAAAATAATAGAAATGTTCTTCAGGTTGTGGCCAGATTACCCAGGTGTGTGTGAAAGATGAAGATTGCTGCACTGGTGTCTGTGAGAATGGAGCATGTGCAGGTATAATACAACATAACTTAACATAACTTAACCGTACAAATATGTAGTCTTGAATCAACCTTCTGCATACTGTATATATTCCTTCCCCCATTATCTCTCTAGTCAGATTTGATGAATAGATATTTGGGAGGGGATAAACTTGACTACATCTAAAATAACAATAGCACGTAAGACAATTTAACTAAATCATGTGTACCATTGGCTTAACGATTATGTAACATAACATATTCCTGATGAACTAATTCAGCATCTCTTTAATAGATGTAACCTGTGAGTACCCACAAGCAGAAGACCATTGTGGATATAACATCCAACGAAGTGCAGAAAATAAAAAAGGACGGTTTAATGTTGGAGAAAAAGTTTATTTTGAGTAAGTTACATAGATTAGACAGATTAACCATAGAAAACAATTACATCCATATTTCCAACAATTTTGGTGTGACTGTTGGAACATAAGATGCAGAACTTTTCGTAAAACTAGGTCGGAACCCAGTGCCTCACTGACCAGAAATGCACTTAATGTCAGGGAACATCAGTGTAACTAGATATACTATTGTTTATCAAATCTATTATGCACATATGAATCACAAATTCAAGCCAAATTAACCCAGGTCAAAAGAATGAAAATTGAATATAATAGTGTTAATTTGATTTTAATTTAGCAACTACAGAATCAACATTTGAATGGAAATGAATTGTTTCATGTTTTCTGTAAAAGATAAATATTGAACTCTAAAAATTGTTGAAATTGTAAAACTTTCAAAGTAAAATAATTCCAAACAACTTGACCTTTTGATGAATTTGACAATGACTCTGCACCTTCATCACCAATAATGCTAAAATTAACACTGAATTTCTATCAACAGAATAATAAAAACATATATGATCATACTCTTGTCATAAATTAAACAGCTTCCAGGCCGTCCAACTGTCCCGCAATTTGCGTTTTTGTCACGCATTCGCTGGAAAATTTGAAGTCACGCCAGTTTTTTTTTGTGTAACAGAATACATAATATAACCCAAATATATAGGATCACACCTATGGTGTTTAAACTGCTTCTTTATTCGGTACATTAATATTCCATAAATACCAAATAAAACAAACAATTTACCAAACCTTTACCCAATCTATCGAATGTTTTTTTATTTTATCAAATGTAATAATCTATACAATTTATATTCGCTAAATAGTTTCACTTGTTCTTTGTATTGACATTCACATTTGATATTTATACATGTATTTGTGTGATGCAGCGAATCAATTTGTTTTCCTTAACGCACATATAATTCAATTAATTATTTGTACATTCGGTACTTAAATTATTTATATTTGGTAAATACCGAATGCCACATTCGATAAATTTCGTTATTTTTCGATAATTTACGAGACTTTCAGTCACGTGATATATTTGTACGATGTAGAGGTGTCACTCCTGTAAATCATTGAAAAATATTGAAAAAAATCACAAAATTCAAGTTCTGGGGTACATATCGCCATTTTCGAACGAACTAGCCCATACAATGACTATATTTCTGCGTTCCCCTATACACAACCTTCATCTTGACACTATATTTAACATAGGGTTTGCGTCTCGATTTTTATATATCACCACGCCAACATAGGGACTCATTTTCAGGTAAAATCCCTGCTTCACCGATGAAAATTAACGAATAAAGTAGTTCCAGTTTACGGGACTATATTCTTGCGAATTCTTGCTTCTTAAAATGGCACATTTAGAAAGTACTTGGCCTCAGCTTTACATACATACCTCAAATGGCCACATTGCATACACTTAAACCTACTATACACACCATTGAAGTTGGCATGGCTTCGTTTTTAAAGTATTAAAAAACACTAACCGGAAGTCCTACCCGGAAGTGCTATTTATCGGAGTGACACCTAGAATAGCTACGCGGCCATTTTGCAAATCTCGAAGTCACGTGACAAAATATCGAACAACAACGCAAGTTATCGAATATTACTTTATTGCATTCGGTAAATAGCAAATTAGCTTTCGGTAAAATGCATTAACTATGTCATAGAAAAATAAACCATTTGGTAAATATAGGCAAACTTATTTCGGTAGGGTTCAAATAGAAATTCAATATTGTGCATATAATGTGTTACTCTTAAGGAATACCATAATATTTACGCAAAAAATGTCATTTAACGAATGAAATATGTAATTTAATGCACATTGTATTAAGTGATTGCCTATTTTGAAAACTTAATTTGCTGAAACAAACATATAAACGTTTTTACCGAATGGAAAAATGATTTAGCGAATATAAATGTTTCATATATCGAATATATTTGAATTTAATGAATAAAGAAGCAAAAATAATGCCATACACACCATGACGATTTCATTGTTCTTTGACATCATTATTCTATTATTTTTGTTACCATGGTAACTGGTGATGCGACAAGGTGGAGCTCAGAAAAAATACCAAAATTGAAAAACAACAGTAATTTTGTATTATGTTTGGACACTGTATTCATTGCTGAATATGTGACATACAGTGTCCTGTATATGGAATAGTATTATTTCATTAAGTATATTCATTAATGTTCAGAGTAACTGTCATTATTCTTCCATCAATTCTAATTCTTTAAAGGAGTTACCAGCATGCAAATTGCAGGAGAGTTGACATGCCTGCATATTTGACATTTAACCTCTCTGGTGACCTTGACCTACAAATGCATTTTTACTTATTTTTGTAGGCCTGATTCATGCTATACATTAGACACTTCTGATGGAGTAAGCCAGAATTTTGTGACATGCATGCCAGGGGGAACTGTTTCCCCATCTGTACCTACATGTAAAGGTATCAAATCCTTGATATAATTATAAATAACATAGTTTACTCTATCACACTGGAATAGCCTGACAGCGGTAAAGTCAGATACCGTTGTCACAAATGGCGGACATAACTGTCGCTTCAATTAGATTTTCATGAACTGTATGTTTAATAGAGCACCTAGACTAAATTCCTTTGGAACAACAATCAATCAAAGTGTCTTAATACTCATTGTACAGTTAATAATGTTCTACCATCAAAACAAAATCTTTCATTTAACCGATCAAAATGAGATATGGGACAATGGACGCTGTAATTACCATATGCCGTTGTCTTACTCAAATTTATATTCAGTTTTCATTGATGATATCGAAGACGTTACTAGTATATTATGGTGATTCACGACCCAATTTGATCGAAATTGGGATTTCATATGCAACATCATCACAAGAGCTTAATACATGCACAGAATTAGCGACGATAAAGTCCCATTAAATGAGAACCAAGTGATTAAACAGTTGAAGCGACGGTTGTGTCCGCCATTTGTGACAACAGTATCTGACTTTACCGTTGTCAGGCTATTCCGGTGTGTCTACAATACAATTTGGCTATACATTATAACATAACGCTATAATAACACAGGTTTAACAATTAACATACTGTATTATATACTCGTATGTCCCATTAAGATATCTATATCCCACCTGCTGGACCATAGGTTGTTGAAAATCTCTTACTTTTTAGGCTGATTGCATAACAAGTTGATTCATCCATCAATAAAAAGGATCAATGTGATATTTCAAAACATATTTCCATGTACATGTACAGTGTGTCCCAAAAAAAAGGAAACCAGCAATAGATTGATTATTTCTCAAATATGAATAATAATAGGAAAATTTCACATGACCCCCATTCCTTTCAATGCAAATGTCTGCCCTTGATCTCATCGCAAGTACTGCATCCCTGATGATGACACTGGGGTTAAAACAACTTTGAATGGACATTGGTATTTAAAAGGGGTGTTAAATATGATATGTGTAATTTTGATTGGAATAAATGAGTAAAAGAGTGATATCCTGATGTTTGTTGTTACTTATCACTTTGTTATGATGGTGAAATCGACTTGGCTGAAAGTGGTACAAACTCATTTCTGACATGGTCACTTAAATCCCTTATAACTCAATCATCCGTGAAGGAAAATAGACAACTTTGGTATCATACAAAGGAGGACATCATAACCTATCAGATGGTAGCTGTGAAATTTTCCTATTATTATTCATATTTGAGAAATAAGCAATCTATCGCTGGTTTCCTTTTTTTGGGACACACTGTATAGAAATGTTGATGTTGATATTTATATTAGGGAGCAAATAGGTAGAAAACAAATCATTTTTATATTCCATCACTTTTGAACAGTAAAAGAATGTACAAATCTACCAGCACCTGAAAATGGTTCCCGTTCACCCATGGTTGGAGGAGCTGACTTGTGTGACAGTGCGATAAGCTTTGAATGTGATGAAGGTTACCAACTGACCGGGCCTTCAGAGATTGAGTGTACTGAAGATGGATGGAACCAAGAGGCACCAGAATGTCTTCTACCAGGCAAGACAGATTATGTTTGTTCTAAATCATTTCGATAACTTCCCATTTCGATAATTTCCCTATAATGTGAACTACCGGTATATGTATTTACTGTTCTAAGATCTATTAAATCCACATAAGCACCTAGAATAGCTGATTATGAAATATTAGGAAGTGTAAAGTGTGAAGTATACAATCTTATGCACTCAAATTCATTTTTAGATTCTAGTGAAACTGATGAAACCGATAAGCTGATCAATTTCACATTTGGGCATTATTTCTTAAACTTAGCACTCAATGCTACGTATCTCATGCAAATTTTGAAACAACACCTTTGAGAATGGTAATCAGTCTACAAAGCACTGAGTCCAGGATCTAAATCCTTAAATAATCCATGGATTCATGAGTCAGCTGAATCAACTCGATCATTCAGATAATTTTAAAGTTGTATCGAAAATGAGACTATTTTTGTATTCACTTGATAGTGTTCCTCTGTACAACTGAGAAAGTATAACGTATTTGTCATGGTTTACATTTTAGAATCACCTGTAGAAGAGGTTTGCTCTAAGGTGAAAGGAAGTTGTGGAGATGACTTAAGTCCTGAATGTTGTGTAGGATTTACTTGCTCATTTGACAAGATATGTAAGCCCCGGTTTGAGTATTAAATTCATTTTCAGCAAGGGAAACCATTTTCGAGTGAGGAAAAAGCATTGTTTTTTTATTTTCTGAACCAATATACTGTTTTAGGCAGTAAGGTAAGATTATGAGATTGGTGAGATTAAAACAGACTTTAACATGACAAAATGTTACCACCTAAATCTTACCACCACATTTTAAGCATTTGTTAGAGACAGTGAACTCATACCACAAAACAAGTGACCATAACAATATGACCACTTCTTGGTGGTGAAATAAAATTGGTCAAGTACGTGTGTCCTCAGTCAAGATTTAAATGTCCAATAAAGACCATAGAGGAAATTTGGGAGTCATTTTACCTTTCCCGAGCTATAAGTGCAACGTGTGGCCTAATATCTTCTTCGCCATACCTTTTTTCTTAAAATATATGCACTTGTCAACGAATACCACCGATCAGACTTGGAAATAGACTTCTAAATAAGCAATTGAAAGGATGGACGTCCCACAATTTATTTTTTGAAACATTTTTGAATCTACGATTTAAGATTCTTACTGCAGCTGAGTATAACCGTGTCAATGCTTCGCGTACCCGCGGTTGTCTGATATAACCGTATGCATGGTACACGATATGACCGCCATCGGTCTATTATGGCTATACAATGTAATAATTTATTATATTATTCTGTAGGTTGCGTTGAAGAAGGAGGATGTTCCAGTGATGATGAATGTTGTCGAGGTCTATCATGCCATGAAAATAAATGTGTACCTAGTAAGTATAGCCACGCTGGAAAGACATAAACAACATCAACCAAATTTTTCACAATTTGGTTGATCTTTAAAAAAGTCTGCTGGATGGGTATTTTCTGTGTATTGAATTGGTGCCAAATTGTTTAAGTTTGTTCAATAAGACTGCCAAATTCCAAAATTCCTGGGGATTCCCATGGAACGAAATTTACCACCTGTTCCGGTTGAACAATATCTTTCAAAATGTGTTCAAAATCGTCACTTTTGTACAACAACAACAATATGTCCATTTTCAACTACTTTGAATGAACCAATGACAATTTATTAGTCAAATGAAAGTCAACAGATTAAAACTGGGCTCATAAGTGGAACCTTTGAAGTTCGCCAATATTTTCAACATTGCAAGTCCACCAAATGAAGTAGCCATCAAGAGGTCAAAACAGCAAATCCCCCAAATCAAGTAGCGCCAAATTAAGTAAAAGTACAGTAAACCACTTCTTATTGTCTTCTCCATTCATAGGTACAAGAATAGAGTGCGATAAACCACTTGATATTGTCTTCTCTGTGGATACCTCATGTTCAGTCGCAGATACAGACAAGACACATATTCGTACCTTCATGACGGAGACTGTCAGGGCGTTTAACATTGATAAAAACACACAGGATGGTATCCTAGTGGGGGCACTAACATTTAATCAAGGATACCAACACGTGGCTTATTTACAGGATGGGGCAGATAACAGTAGCCAATTATTGGATAAAATTGAAACAATGAGTCTGACCCCAAATGGATGTAAAACAAATACATTTACTGCCCTTAAAAAAGTGGAATCAGAATATTTCTCACCCGAAAATGGTGACCGACCAGGTGTGTCAAATGTTGCAATTGTGTTGACAGATGGAAAGACTGTCCCAAGTGGTAAGAAGGACTTTTTAAATTCTTTCTATAATACCATAAACACTTTCAACACAATTCAACACATAAGATTCTGCATGTTGAATTGTACTAGAGAGCCTGAATTTGTTCTTTTTGAAAATAAGTGTCTTTGTTATTGTGACAGGAAAGGCAAGCCAAACTCTTCAATTCGCCGAGCTTCTGAGAGAAAGTGGTGCTACAGTGTTGACAATTGGTCTTCCCCAGTCAGATGGCTCAATAGTTGGCGAGGAGGAATGGCTTGGAATAGCTGGTAGCGAGGACTTAGTCTTTAAGTCAAACTTCAAACATCTGAGGAAAATGCTAATCCGTGTTGGAGGGAAACTGTGTGGAGAGAGTAATGTGTTTGTAACAAAGATAGAAGAGCCTGAAGAGAATAACACACTTGAAGGATAACATATATTGAAGTTCAATTAACAGCAGTATGTTCTGACTATATGCTCCTCCTGGGTGTAAATGGATAACACTTAATCTAAGACTATGGCCATCTTGATTTAGGTCTAAACTACACTTCTCTTTCAATATTACAATACCTCATACTCTTGTTAAAAGATTATTGCAAAATAGCAATGCTTTATATCTTCTGGAGGGTGACATTTTGTTACTATGCACATTTTGCACCATAGGCCAAGGGGAAAGTAATAGTAAGCTGAATATAGAAGAGACAGGTCCACAAGTAAGATTGAAAATTTTTCAATTTTTTTTAGTCTTGGCACTAGTTCTCCTTACTGGTATCAAATTGTATTCCCAAATCTCTGCAAAATCTTCTTCAAAGTGTTTTTCAAACTTATATCATTATTTTTTTCAAATCTTTATCTAAAAACTGCATATAATACTGCATATAAAACAACAACTATGGATATCTGCAATTGCCTGGCAAGCTGAAACTGATTGTCACTGTTGGAGGTCAGGGAGGTCAGCAGTGACCAATCAGATCACTTGTTTACTAATGAACTTGCCAGGCAATTGCAGGTTTTCAGAAATTCTCTCTTTTAGACAGCATTATTCACTCAATATCATCTGACTGAGTTTCAATCTTAGGTAAGAGCTACAAACTATCAATTTTCTATCAACTCCCCATGGCTTTTTGAAAATAATACACTAAATATTGTTGAAATCTCCATCTTAACAAGTAGTCCAAGTCAGAGTTGTTCACCTGTCTCTTCTATATATGGCTTACTATTACTTTACCCTTGGCCTATGTTTTGCACTATGACAAACTAGCCTTTCAGATTCTTAAATTTAAATTTTGAACAAGGAAAGCTGCCAGTCGTACTTGTGATATTACCAGCTACTGTAGTTAAGTAATGCTTCTGACCTCTCAACCACCCAATTAAATAATATAAACATATCCTATGTATGCCTCGTGTAATAAAGAACATGAATGTACAGTATTTGGATTTCATCAAAAATATGAACATGTTGTATGTCCCTGATTTTGAATTAAAAAAACAGTATATCTTTTGAGCCATCTTTTACAACTTATAGTATATTATGAAAGATATAATGTTCAAAAGCCTCAGACAAATATAGCCCACCAATTTGCTAACCGTTTTTGTATATACAAACTGTGGAATAAAGTCACAGGGAATGACTTTTAGTTTGATTAAGACCATGGGCTTTCTCTTGAAAAACAAATTGGGAGAAAATCAGTAGGTTTTATGAAAAATCGGGGGGTTATATGAAAAAAAATTGGAGTTAGCACTAAAAATCTGGATTCCTCCCAATTTAAATCAGGACAAGTGAGCAACTATTTAACTCAATCAGAAATATAAGCTTAAATTATTTGTGCGACATTCACTGAAAGCAGGTCTCCAAACACTATCCACTCTGTTCCTTTTTTCTTCCCTATCCAAACCAGCTTATAAAAGGGGAAGATGGATGATATATCTGGATGCCTGCATTCGGGGGATTTAATTTTGTCCAATAATAACATCACGATTCGACACTTTATACAGAACATGTTTCAATTAAAAAACAGCATACCTTTGACTTGGCATTGATGTCAGCGCCCCCTTTAATCAACTGGTCCACAATGGCTTCATTACCAATTCTGCAAGCAACATGTAGGGCAGTTCTACCATCCTAGAAAAACAAAATGAAATTCCTTCATTAATACTCTCTCTAAAAAAATAAACAGTACCATGGGTGTAGCTCAAAAGAGAATGATGGCTAAAATGGCAGTTGGATGTAATTTTTGCCGATATTTTGTAACAAAATTATTTCATACACTACCCTTTTTACAATGCAGGATACCTGAAACTATTTGTAAACCTAGGAAATGGGCCACAAGTGAATTCCGCAAGACAAAAGTGGTAGCCATTATGGAAATAGGCAAGCTTTTGAATCAGGAGTCATAAGGGAGTTTTCTGTATTGATGTTGAACAAAAATAACTTAAAACTGCAATCCTATCGACAGAGGTTTTATGGCAAATGGTCCAAAAGTGGATTATGTGAGACAGATGGACAAATCAATGTTAACTAAATTGGCTTAAACTTAAAAAACGGATATAACTTTTTGCCGATTTTTTGTAACAAAATTATTTCATACAACAACTCTTTACGGTGACAATTTTTACAATGCAGAACACCTGAGATTATTTGTAGAGCTAGGTAATGGGCCAAAAGTGAATTTTGCGAGGAAAAAATAGGCGAGCTTCTAAACCAGAAGTCATAAGGAAGTTTTCTGTATTGATGTTGAAAAAAAATAACCTAAAACAGGAATCTTATCGACACAGGTTTTAAAGCAAATGGTCCAAAAGTGAATTTAATTTCGTGAGACAAAAATGGGCGCCACTTTGAAAATAGGCGAGCTTTTGAACCAGGAGTCATAGGGGGGTTTTCTATATTGATGTTGAACAAAAATAACTTAAAAAGGGAATCCTATTGACAACAAGAACTTCAAAAATTCAAATCCTTTGTAACAGGCAGTTCAAAATATGTTTAACTTACTTTCGACTTTGCATTAACATTAGCCTTTCCTTGAATCAGGAGTCTGACCATCTCCTCTCTACTGCGACCAACAGCTTCATGGAGTAAGCTGCCATCAAACTGTAAATAATCAGATGTTCCTACTGTGTGTATTAAAAATTTCACCATTATGGGGCTCACATGGTGCAAAAGAAACATTCTATATAAAAAATTAAAGCATTTTAGAATATACAAATTAATGATCATCACTTTTGGCCGCTAACTCCTTGAATTATTCCTTACATACAAGTTTGGATGAAAGAAGGTTTATTATGTAAACATTAACTTTTATATTCCCATGCACAATATCTCTTTTGAGCACTTTACTTAATATGCTTGGAGTTTAAAGATACCTGTACATCCTTTTGTAAGATTTCAAATAAAATATGTGTTGCCTATATATTATGGGGTTCATTTGACTCACATCAGCAGCAGGCAAATTGAATGTGTATCGACCCTTGGGCACGATCGTTGGGGGGCTGTAGTGTACCGAGCCAGATACTAGACTCGAAAGAGAATGTGCTAAATTCAATGCCCCGTACGGGGGAATCGAACCCAGGACCTTCCGCTCTCAGAGTCAGATGCTCTACCCCTGAGCCATAAAGGCTAGCCACTACAGCTGAGACAGTAGTAGTGACTTGCTATGGAAGGTCATTACAAACGTAACTACAGTATGCGAGAGAAATAAAAAGCAGAGACATAAAAACAAGGCATTAATATTCAAAATGTCACCACCTACCATTTGTTTCATATGCCAAATGCCGACTGCCAAACACCAGCCACAAAAAACATTGGAGACTGTAACAATTTATCCTGTGCCAGGACTATAGTCCTGAGAGCGTCCCTATAGCTTAGGTTGTCCCTATGATAACAATATGGAAGAATTCCCCACACTTTTCACACTTAAATGACCTACCTCAATAAATTCCTGGGTATTTCAAAATTATTTCTATGAAGCTGAATCCCTTATTGCATGGCCTCGATGGGTTTATCAGCAGAACAAGGAAATTTTCATTTTTAATAGCAATTTTTGCATGTTAACTGGCCTTAACTTATTTTAACTGTCAAAATTCCGCCATCTATTGGTACATCCAGGTTTTGCAGCATCAGATCCTGATGTCTTTACGGGGATTCCCTTTTTAAAGGCTCTCAAACCTATCATATCATATACATAAAGGGCAAGATAAGTAACAATACATGTACAGGGGCGTCAGAAGGATTTACAAAGGGAGGGGGCGACTTTTGCATGGGTATGGATGGGTCATGCGTGAAGCGCACCGCACGCGAAGCGCGATCTAGGGGGGTCGGAGGGCGTTCTCTCAGAAAATTTTCAAAATTAGACCCTCTCTGGTTCATTCTGAACATATCTCAGCTCAATATTCCCAAGAAAACTAACTTGACTTTGACTAAAAAACTTTTACTAAAATATACATTTTGCACTTATTCTTCAAAGCATTTACATACTGTATGGGTTCATGAGAAACTGTAATTAGCTATAGTACCTAGGCTAGGTTTGAAATCTAAAAAATCAGGGAAAGGGGGTGGGGCGGTCGCCCCCAACGCCCTCCCCCTTCTGACGCCAATGCATGTATGTCACCAGTCACCACTTCTGGTGACATAGATTCTCAGATAAGAGTACAGGAAGGCAATGCCGTCCATGTAGGTAATATTCTCGGACACTCAATGCAGGCTTTCCTTTGTACGACAATTACATGTACCTATATGGATGACAACACAATATTGCGGCTCCCTCCCTATATCCTCTGCAAAACATCAGAAAGTTTTGCACATTATCCTCATGTTTGCCAAAATTATGAAGTGTCGTGTGAAGCCATCGGAAGAAGACATATACAACAAATGTGAAAGGTTCAAGAAACCCCAGCAGTACAACTAATGAATCAATGATGGAGTTGCAACAGACTAGAATAAATTCCCGGGTAATTTGTGAAACTAAGATCTTGCCAAATTTTTCAATTTTGAAAAAAACAGACAAGGTATTTGTTACCCAATATTGAGATGTAGTAGCAACACCACCCTTCAATAAACGTTTAACTGTCTGGAGATCATCATTTGTAACAGCATATCTCAGTCTTTCTTCAAGAGCCTTGTTATTAACTTCATCAGATCGTTTACGATTCATCTTCTGATTTTCATTGGAGCCTATTTTTGCACTGAACGAAAGGGATGGAAAAGTAATTAGTCTACTAAACTACTCGATCAATAACAATTTGTTAAATAGAATTAATGAATAAAATAAACTGGTCTCACCTTGAATGTACAAATTGAACAATTGTTTTCTTTTTCTTTTTTTAATCTTTTGGAGTTATTACAAGATACAAGGTTTGATTCGTTATTTGAAATGGGTGTTCTCGACAGATCATGTCTGACAGTTGTCAATTTAAACAAGATGGCGTACTCTAATAAAAAGTTATCAAACAAATTATAACAGCGTTTCGACCAATAATAGCTCATAAGGTAGGATTTTCCAAATCTCTCATTGTGTAATACATTATTCAATATATTGGCTGCAGTGTTTCTATATGGTTAATGTGTTTTAAAATCTACATTGAATATTCTAATCAGATATATTGGAATGGCATGTCCTGTTGCCAAATCAAAACCAGGTCATCAAAAATTTATGATCAAAACAAACATTACCAGTAAATAATAGCACAATAGTTACGATTAGATGAGTTGAAATTAACAAGCACATCAGATATTTGCATTATTGGTAGATCTATAAATCAGATAAAGTATTTTTTTATTTTCAATAGATAACATGGCTTAGTGGACACTGTAATAGGAAGTAGTCCCACTTTAAGTGGACGTAATCACTGTGTGAAGTTACACAAGGATGGGATTGTCAGATGGAGAACTATCAGATACAAAACTTCATGAAGCAGTGCGGTATGGAGATATTGATGACGTTAAAGCTTCACTTAAAGATGGTTTAGATCCAAATAAAGTAGGATTGTACTCTTGGACTTGTGTTCATGAAGCTGCAAGTAATGGTGACATGGACGTTTTGAAATTGTTGCTGAAGCATAAAGGTATATGTCAATATAATGATCATTACATAACTGGTTGTTCTTATTTACAAAACGACTAACCATCAAGACTTAATAAACACAATCTTCTGAAATCATTTGTACACTACCATGTACGTGTATATGATATGTATTATATACCTGCTAATTGATTATATAATATGTACTATTTATTTCTCCAGGTAATCCTAACAAAAAGGACAAGCTAAAGGGAAACACAGCTGTTCACTATGCCGCCAAGGAGGATAACAAAGAGTGCCTTGAAATGCTTATACAATATGGAGGAAGATACAATACTAAAAATAATGATGGCAAAACTCCATTGGATGTTGCTCAGAAGAACTGTGAAGAGCTCCTTCAGAAACAGAGTAAGTGTTAAAACCAATTCACCAATTCACCACACAAGGCCATTCTGTAGCCCCATCCGCCTTCTTTAACACAGGTTGGTGAAATCTAGAACAAGAGGTTGGCTCGAAGAGTGTATGATTGTCTGTAAATGCTTGCTGTACTTATACAACATTTGCAATTGTTTGTATGTTAAAAGGTCTGATCTAAATCTTCAAGTGTTTGATCATAATCGCTGAAGGACAGTAACCCCTTCCATCGTTTTTATGGTCATCACAATATGTATAGAGTAAATATATGATTTTAATACTCTTAATAGATGTCAAGGTGGGCTCCTGATTCATAGGATGTCAGGGTCTGATTGATATTTGTGTTATTCTAAGGACTTGCTTTGGAGAAGGACATATTGTTGAAAAACATATTGAAAAGGATACAAAATGTTTTATGGTCAGAAAATACCCATGGTCAAAGATTTGACCATCTAGAATTTACTTTCATTATGATTGTTTCCCTGATTTGTTTCAAAACAAAATGTGGCATTTTACCTCTATCCCCATAACAAAATTGATATTTGATACAGCCTTTAAGAAATTGGTAGTGTTACATGAACTTGAGTTTCTCATTTCCTTAATAAATTCATGGAGTGGGTCTTTATCTGGCTGCTAGGGTACTACATTTCAAGTGTATCTCATTCTCAAATATTACATAAGTTACGAAAGTGGCATTATATTACTTTATGTCTGCTCTAATCTTGTGGCAGACTTTGTACAAAGATTGATAAATATGGAGTGTAAAATGATTGCTCAAGTGTATAGGTATCTAGTATCTCAGTTTGTATAATCATGAAATCAAAGGAACACAATATTATATCAAAAAATTATCAAGTAGAAACATGTTATAAATGCTGTAGGAATATATGATCTGACTGTTAATAAATAGGCTCATTAGACACTTGAAAAGTCAGCAGTAGACTGATAAAAGTTAATATTTTTCAAATCACACTTCAAACTTCTAATTAGAACTGCATTTTGGATTTCATAGTGAGTTTATGTAATACTAATAGTAATAACCCACTCATACATTCTGAACTTATGTTCATATCCATTTTATCATTAAAATATCACATTTTTCAAAGTATACAAACTCGACTTGTGAGACTTTTTTTGGTGCCTTTTTTATTTTTTATTTTGTTTCATATGGAATGGTCCTTTTTCCATATAGCTTTGAAATCTTGTTAAAGTCTGGTTTTTAATGAGATTTTAGGAGATCTGCATTTTTAACCATTAAAGACTAAAATTTTCTTCCATTTGATGGCATATTTGAATTCCCTGTGTAATTTTCTATCAAAACAACTTTGATTTGCACTGTTATTTGCCTTTATTCAAATTCTAATGATTTTCTAGTTGTCTAGAAGGTCGGGCTAAATCCCCATTGACACAATGCTGAAAAACCTTTAAAACTTCATTTACTCTTACAAGGATCACAATTTTAATGTGAAATCACAATCCATATGTCATTAAGATCATATAGTTACATTCCAATGGTGTTTTAAGTTTATCCAAATGGAATTACTTCTTAAATCAAAAAATTAAGTGACTCTGGCAATACATTTACATGTATTCTAGCGCTACCATAGCCCCATCGATACCCATGATGCCATCTATTTTCCATATGGAAAAAGGTCAATTCAAAAAGGTCTTGATAAACTACATGTACATGTTTTTCAGGAGTAAAGGATCTCATTAAGACCACTGTTAAACAAGCTAAAGAGGACAGTCTTGAGGTGGAGGAGAAAAACTGGAACAAACTACAACATGTTGACAACGCTACTGAGCACAGTAAACCACCTGGTAATAACAATGAAAATGAGCCCAAAGATGAAAGCAAGCAGGAGGCTGATAAATGTGCAACAGAAAAAATGCCAGAGAAAGCATGGCAGAAACCAAAAGAGAAAAAAGAAACAAGTAAGCCACTTATTTGAACAAATATACTTGTATCTGGCCTTACAAATGTTTAATTGAAATTTTGAATAACATTGTCTTGTGCAGAAGGGTGCCATTTACGTATATGCAAATATCACAAAAGTGAATGAACTTTGCTTCTCTGAAAAGTTAAACAATGTTTGTCATAATTTCCACACTTGATCAGTTTCTTATGTTATAAACCCTAATACACGTAGTGTTATTATGTTATTTTATTGCATTTTTCAGTCATGGGATTCTTGCAGTTATCATTTGAGTACAATTCTCGTAAATCTAGTCTAAAAGTAAGAGTATGGCAGCTATCTGATATACTTCTACCTCCTGGTGAGTAAAAAATCAATTAATTCTCAGTTCTGTTTATTCCATTATCGGAAGAAATGAACGGAGGGGGGAGTAGCTGATTTTCGCTAGAAAATTCAACAAATCTGGAAGATTTGTTTTTTTAAGAGAAAGTTGAATGGAAAATCAGCTACTCCCCCTCCATTCATTTCTTCCGATCACTGGGCGTGATTTCTCTTTTGCTAATCAGTGATTGGAAAGGATATAGCCCTACTTATTCATTTTGTCAAAGTTGTATTCCATTCATATCAATAGGGTATAATCCTTAGAGAAACACTGGGAAAAAATATGTAAAATAGAGATTTGTAACATTGATGCTAGAGTTATTATGACTTGTATCATATGACTTTTTATTATGACTTGTCATGTTCTGTATATTTATGTTTTCCAGCTGATACATCAATGATACAATCAGTGTATGTGAAAGGCTATCTTCTTCCTGACAAGAAAAGGGTAACAAAACGCAAAACTGATGAAGTGAAAATTGAAAAGCCAGAACCCCCTCAAGTAAAGGTGGATTCACCAAAATCTACAGACAATCTGCCTGAATTTGCAATACAGACGATTTTTAAACCATCCATGTTTAAATTCTCAAAGCCATTAGAATATAAAGATATTACTCCTGAGATTGTAGCGAGTAAGACAGTTGATCTACAGGTGTGTATAACCCAGAAATACACTAGGAAAAGTTTTGTTATAGCAAACATGAACCTTCCACTGAAATCTGCAGTGAAAAAACTTGTACGTGAAAAAATACCTCTTAGGCCATGTTTATCAACGGGCATACCAGAAAACATGAAAGTCTACAGCGCACATGAATTGTCCATTATTAGCTCTGCGAGAAACTTTAGCAGTAACCCTGACATACGTAATCCATCATTAGCGAATTTAACTGCCCAATCCTCAGAACGTGCTTCCAGTGACTCAGACCTGAAACGGGTCCAAGTTGTTAAAGTGTCAAAAGCACCATCTATTACTCTCTCATTACCCCCAGATGAAGATGACCGTGGTCAGTCTCCTCTTGAGGAAATCACAATACTAGAGGAACTTGATCCTGTAACCAAACAATATTTGAGTAAAAGTACATCAAACTTGGTCCATATGCCAGGAGAGATTTCAGATGAAGATTTAATTGACTTGCCGAATATAAGTATAGAAAAAGTGCCAAATAAAATAAAGAAATCAAAAAGTACACCAGACTTATCTAGCACCGAAGATTCCGATATGAGTGAATTAGAGAATAGTCTCAGTAAGCAACATGGTACTTTTGCAAAAGCAATAGCAAAAGGAAAGAAAGATGTGTATTCATTGATTGAAAAAGGAAAGAAAATGAAAGCGAAGACAGTGGGTAGTACGGAGGTTATAGAACTTAAGGATGTGAAAGAGCCAGGAAATGATATCTTAAAGTTCACTACTGAAGAAGAGACACAACTAGGATCTCCTATTAGATCCCCTAGAAGTAGACACAGGAGAATGAGATCAAAGGAGAATTCACCAAACACTTCCTTTGCAGAAGTACACACATATGCTACTGTCCATGAACTTGATAAGACCCCTGTTAAAGCTTCTAGGAGACGTCACTTGCCTGAAACACCAGACAGTAGTCCAAGAAAACTTGAAGAACTTCAAAGCACTGTGGTAGACTTTGTGAAGGCTATTAAATCTACCCCAGAACCACCTCCTCCCATACCTAGCCCTAATCAGCCCCACCCTCCTAACTCACCGAATCCCTACAGAGCCAGGACTGGGGACAGAGTGAGGGCTAAGACTCCATCTCCCAGGGATACAGCAGCTACCACAAATGTCTCATCCATATCATCAATGCAATCTAACGAAACCATTGAAAAAACATTCCACCCTAAGAAACTGTGGGATGACCATCATACAAAAAGCAGTACAAATAACAACAGTGAACAGATCCAAGAAATTGAACTCAAAGAGGAAATATCACACTCAGAGAAACAAAAATTGAAACAGAAATATCTGAAACGTGCAGCAAAAATGCAAACTTTAAGTTCACAGCAAGAGAAGATGAACTTTCTACATCGGACTATATTAGACAGTCCAAGTAGTGCATATGAACATAGTGAAACTCTCAGGGACTGTACAGAGAGGGCCATAGAGCCCTATGATGCTGTGCCAGGTGGTGTAAATATTGATGTCCCCTCCGTCCATTCTTACCCTACAACAGAATTGTAATTTATATAATGCATGTTATGTTATGCCATTGCTTTTTGCCATCTATGGATTTATGCTTCTTTGCTTTTACGATGTGTGTCTTTTTCATTCATATTTTTATGTCACCACTAGTAGAAGTCATGGCATATTGTTAAAGTCATCAACTTTTTTTTGGACAGTGTTCAGTGTTTGGTGGTTGGCATTTGAATCTGTAACAAATGGCAAGTGGTGACATTTTGCATGTTAATGCCTTGTTAGAATGATGTGTTGAATGTTATCAGTTATAGAATGGAGCATAAAATTGCCCCTCCAACCATCTATACTCAAATATGGAAATGTATTTTATATGACCTACCATCCGATAATTAAAAAAATTAATATGTGTTATGTTTACAATATGTAGCACAAGTGCCAAAATGTGAAAGACGTAAGAGTATTACAATATATACAAAAAGAAGCAAGCTGTCATAAGGAAATCAAACCCCTGATATCACAATGCTATGATCAAACACTAAGAAACAATGTTTAACACCCTCCCCCTTACCTAGCCATTCAGGAATCACATCACACTGTAAAAATTATGTTAATTTGTTTGGCTTCTAGTCAAGCCTTGTCTTGAATTGTTTTAAAAAATAAGTGTTGGTGCTTCTTATTATAGCTGCTTACAATCTGACATTAATGGTATTTTTGCATTAATTTTATTTATCATGGAAATTGTACAACATTAATTGTATTCAACAAGTAGTTTTCTGTTCAGTGATGATGAAATCATGAACATTATTTTTATGTTTATGATAATAAACAATGTTTTGCTGTAATACATTATGTAGTGTATCAGTTATATGTTTAACCATTTTATTATGTCCCCACCACATAATGTATATAAGGGTTATGTACTGGAGGTTTTGGATATGGGGTTTATCCAGAGGGAGATATGCATATCTCACGAGGGATGAACCCAATATCCAAACTGACAGTACATAACTGCTTTATCCTATACCAAGTAGAGTTTTCAGGGGCATATGGCCATTTCAGTAGTACAAGGTGTAATAAACAATTCATTCATATGCAAAGTCATTTTATTGCATTTCCACTACTTACCGGAAGCGGGAAGATATGCACCAAAGTGGGAAGATACGCACCGAAGCAGGAGATATGGCGGGAGATAGATATGGAGGTTCTGGATATGGAAACCTCAAAATCAGGATAAGGGATATATCTTACCAACTTATCTCCCTAAAACTCTACTTGGCATAGGATAATGGTATATATACATTACATTGATATATATATATATATAGGATATAAAAGGGCTCAATTTTGAAAATTCTGATAGCCTAAGATCGTTTGGATGGCTTGTGTCTCCAGCATGGACGTTGTGGAGGGCCTCAAGCTAGGGGTTGCAAGCATATCTGAGAGACTTATTTGCATCATTAAATACAAATACAAATCTCTGTAAAAAGAATTTTCTTTAACAAAATATGGCCCCTAACCCCCTTTGGATGGGCCTATATAGAGTATATAGGCCTACTGTAGAAGATTCAGCATTAAGACATTTCTAATTCTTTTCAACCATTTTTAGTGGCAATAATTACATAAAATGGTATTTTATTGATGTATTTTTATTGTTTTATATATAAACATGTACATGTATGATTTTTAATTATACATGTAGTAGTAAGTACACATCATAACGATATGCAACTGGATTGCATTTTTGATTAGATGTTAATATTTATTTTTTAAGATATTGATAATCAAATAAAAAATTCCAATTTAATCGAAAATATTGTTTTTGTATCGACTGAAGCAACATACTGTACTTCTACTTAATTTGGCACTACATGTACTTATTTTAGTGGATTCGCTGTTTTGAACATTTGGCGGTTACTTAATTTGGCAGACTTGGAATATTACTAATAGTACTAATTTACATGGTAGTAAAATGACTGGGTATTTTGGCAGCAACTTAATTTGGCGGACTTAAACAATTTGGTGGATTTGCCAAATTATCTGCCAAATAAAGTAGAAGTGCAGTAGTCTAGCTACAAGCCTCTGTTAGCCCTTTCAAAAATGTCCAATATACAGGGTGTCCCGAAAGCATGGGCCCCCCCCCCTAGGCAGACATACACCAATGTCCCCATAGTATGTATCATATATTACTTTAAAGCTTATCCAAAGTTACATTGATTTGCCAAGTATCATGGTTCAACTCACAAATGGGAAAAAGTTACAGGCATTTCAAAATGTAGTGTTTTACCAAAATTAAAGCTTAGTTTTACACAAAAGTAATTTGAAAACCAAATGCATTAACTCACCAATTCTCAAGTATATACATTGTATTTTGGATGAAATTTACTTATATGTTCATGATGTCCTTAGTACATGCCCTCCTCTTATTGTTTGGAATGATAGCTGCTTCAATATAAAGATGGCAACAATATTTCATACATCAGAATATGAGAGTAAAACACAAAAAATCTTACGTAGGTCACTTGAGGTCGGGCACATTTGATCCCTAAATTTGTGACCTACATGCGGTGGAAATGTGATATACCTTAGACTGTAGTAGTTAGTGTGCCCTCCTCCAGCTTTTATTGCATCAAAATGAAAATATGACATCAGCAAAAGTTTATTCTGCACATCTAACCCTATCTACAAATTGGTTAAATTCACTGTAATATATATTATATATGTTGTCATCTTGAAGTTATTTGGCTCTCTTAAAACCCTTCCAAATGCGCCAATTGCCAATTGTTTCTAGTTCTATTGTCTGTTACATCAATTAGTACAATGTCACAATTTGAGACATTGGTTGACAGGTACCAGATACACCAATCAACATAACTTTGGACGAACATTCCAATGATATACCACACTTGGTACCATATTTTGGCTGTAGATGGAGATGAGACTCATTTGACATTGACTCATTTGTATTGTTACAACCACTGTATTTCTGTGACCAGTTTTCAGTGTTGTCACTGTCAGCATCAACTTCTGTAACAAATTTTTACCAGATTGTTACATTTTTAATAAGTTCATATGATGGTTCATTATATGATCATTTACTTATCTTGTGAGTGATTTGATATTAAGGAATATTGAATGGCCTTTGCCTATCATATATATGATATACGGGCATGAATAGATGCATGGTGTGGGGAATTATGCACGGCTATGCTGTATTCTGATTGGTTGAGAAACTCAATTAGACAAATGTCATGTTTGAATCTCATATATTTAGACTAAGTATTGGAGCACAGCCACGGGAACAAGAGTTCATCCCTACTGGCACATCTGTGGGCCTGGGCCCCCCTCACTTGGGTGGGCCCAAAAAAGATTTTGGGCCAAAAAAGGCCTTTAAGGCTCCAAAAAGTGGGCCTTTTTGATCATTACTGGGCCTTTTAAGGCCTTATTTTTTAATTTCAGGCCAAAGGACGATTCTCGGTTTGGAGAACAGTCTCCTGGGCTAATAATTGTTTTCATGAAAAATCTAGAAATATTACCCAAATTAAACTATGAATATTCAAAAGAGGACATTTAGATCTACAAGATGTAAAAATAACAAATTGGTCTGAAGCAGGGATAACGCTCAATTTGACCGATTCAATAAATTACAAGTCTCGATTTAGGGAAAGAAGTTCATCAGTGTACTGCGCGAATATTTTTTTGCGAAAAATCTAGAAATATTACCCAAATTAAATTATGACTATTTAAAAGAAGACATTCAAATCTATATTATGTAAAAAAATCAAATTTGTACGAAGCAGGGATAATGCTCATTTAGATTGATGAACTTCGTTCTCCAAACCGAGAATCGTCCTTTTGAAGAAAATGGGCCTCCAAATTTCAAAAGGGCCCACTTTGGGGTTTTAGGGCCCCTCCCACTCATCATGTATTACATGTAGGCATATGGGGCCGTATTAGGTAGAAAAAAGATTACATTTATTATGCAGTGAGTGGGGGGATTTAAATATTCTTCCTGGGCCTGTTCCCAATCCTCTTGAAAGCACATGATTTTATTTGATTACTGCATATTGTTAGCTGAACTATCAGAATAATAGGAAAATAATAACTAAGAGTAGTCTACTAAGTTCATTTACTTCAGAGTAAAATGTTCAAAATAAAACATTTTACTCTGAAGTAAATGAACTTAAGTTATTATCAATATATTACCAGAGTGATGAATTTACACAGAAATTATACATTTGCACCATGTTTTACCACTACAAATAGAGAAATGGAAAATAATGCCTTTTTGGATGAAGAAGGTAATTCTCTGCAAGAATTTTGATTATTTTAACTTTATTAAAGTTCAAAAGATGTCATCCCTAAATATCATTGAACGCAGGTAGTCCTTGACCCTTGCTTTATTTATATCACTCCGCTAATATATAGTTCCATATTTGTACTTCTAATGCTTCGTTTATTTTGTTTCATATCTTGAGTTATTATGCATAATATGTTAAAATATTATATGACCAATATTAAAATATAGAGGTTTACAAATCACTAATTGAAAACGATACTTATTTTCTTCGGAAGGATATATTTGTGTCACCGGGTAATGAGGTCTTTTACTTTGACCGTGGTACGTAATGGCCGATGTTCGAAATTGGTTTGTCGATTTTATCACAATTTACCTGTTTCTAAACATTTGTTTTTATTTTTAGACTGACTAACAGCCACATTGGAGCATATCAAAGAAGATAGCTGACATTAGGACGGATTTATTGCGGATACAGTACTGTGAGTAACTTTTAAAATTGTCCATCTTGAAACTTTGGCAACTTTCTGGGCCAAAAAGAAGATCAATTTCTTTTCATCTTTTTGCGTGTGGAAACAATACACAAGATAAAGATTTATGGCTGAAACCACTCGGAGATTAATATACATTTTAAATTTAAAATTCATCGATGTTTGGAATGCTTATATACGAAATAATTGGATAATTTTTAGAAGTATTTTCGTAAAGTTTGTCCACGTCACACACCTTGGTCGAATTTGTAATGTAAGTGTAGCCTTGGAAGATAAGTGAGTCATTGTTACTTTGATATTTTGATTCTTACCTAGCTAAACATTTATATTGCTAAAAGTTAGTTCCAAAATATAATGTTTGAACAGTTGTACTAGTTTTTTGAAGATGATAATTGATATGCAGCATCTCAAAGCCCAGTGAGAAACTGAGATAAGTTTGCCATAATCCATGTTTGAATGTTGGGGTAATGGTACCCGAATGTTGTAATTTAGGCTAAGTTTATTTAGATCTAAGTACATGGTCAATAAGATGGGTCAGTCAAAGATTAGTTCAAATCATGCAATCCTGCCTGATTTAAATAGGTAATGGTACTACTTTTTTCAAGGCCTGACTGCGTCGCTAACATGCTAAATATAAGAGTTAGCTGACGTTTGGGAGTCTGACTTACCTTCTAAAGGTTAGAACCCGAATCTTAATGAAACCATATCACCTTTGTTCCGTCATTCACATCGTCAGAAAAAATTTCAAGTTCTCACACCCCTATCATGTTTATTGGCTAATTCAAATCGGATGTGGTGCAAAGTTCTAAAATATGTGGTTGTCACACATTACAGAGGTACAGTTGGGGACATAAATAAATGACAGGTGGATTTGCAGAAGTGAGGATTTCCCATGTTAAAAATAAGAGAATTTACAAGAGGCCATAAATCAGTGGATGAGATTATACAAAATGTAAAATATACAAATTTTAAGCGATATGTATCTAGACAATATTGGAAATTATGGGCTTTCAGACCACCATAATTAGGAAATGGTGATCGAAAATCGACCTGTCATTTATTTTTGTCCCCAACTGTATACACTTCAATCTTTAGATAGTTCAAAATGTTCACCATTAACATAGGCGTCGGGGAATAATTGCGGAATACATTGCTTCTTTTACAGAGAGAGGTTACATCTGGTAAATTCCTACCAAAGAAACCGGATGTAATCTCACTTTGGTAATGTCCATAATGTACTCAAAAATAATTATTAGATAATTGGCAAAAATCAAGTATTTGATAAAACTTGTAAAAAAAATAGTGCATCACATATTGGTTCATTTATTAGCAACTTTGTCACTTCTGATATGAGTCTTATATGACATATTCATTGAAATTTACATTAACCTAATTGATATACACTTGTGTAATTCCATCATAGTTATAATTTGTGGATTAAATGTGTAATACATTGGGAGCACACTGTTTATTTTCATGATCTACTTATTTTTGCAATCCCATGTAAGGCTAAGTCATATACTCCTTGTATAGTTAACCTTCCTCATTAAAACCAGGCTATTAACATTATAAGCTGGCTTTATACAAATGAGTATATGACTTAGCCTTACATGGGATTGCAAAAATAAGTAGATCATGAAAATAAACAGTGTGCTCCCAATCTGTTAGATTTTTTATGGATAGAGAGTTGCAAAAGTAACATTTTTATCAAATTTGGTGTTAATGTATTTTATGACTAGAAGTAGGCAATGGGAAAATGGAATGTCTATTTATTTTAGAGTAGCTCTAATTCTTTTATACTGTACTCCGGGTAATGTTCGCGTGCGATTTAATTTTGCTTTGTTCGCGAATGTAGTAAAATCGCGAACATTTATCGTCGCGAAATTTGTCTTAAATCCCCGGGGATTTGACCCGGGGCTTTTGATATGTTTCGTTCAGTGTGAAACTTTTCTTCCAGTGTTGTTGGGCGAAGGCCTAAAATCATTTTGAATTGGCTTATTAGGCCAACAAAGGCAAGAACTGTTGACGACAATGATATCCTACAAATTGAAGTTGAAAAAGCCATTCAAGAATATTCAAATAAATGCCATAAACGTGGGAAATACAAACATTATTCGGATTCTCGCATTGATTCACGGCAATCAGAAAAAATTCAACATGTGCAATCTGCGAAATGTCATCAACTCAAATCCGCGATATTAAATATCCGCGAAATTGCAATTTTGAAAACTCGCGAAATTTTATAGCGTCGAAATTTACCCGGAGTACAGTATATAGATTTAGATACAGGTGATATCTTAATATATTTGTGACTTCCAATTAAATGATATATATAAGCCAAGATGAAAGATTTCAATGTTTTAGCTAGATTCTTAAATGGATTGCTTAACCTCACATACTATATCATGGCATATTAAGCCAGAAAATAAAGGATGTGACCAGGTTTATTTAGGAATTTTGACATTTCAATGTGACCTTCATCCTTTGAGACACAGTATTCTATTTTAAGCAGGGTGAAGATAATTTAATAGAGAGGATAGATTAATATTCTGAAATTTTAAAGAATTATAATTACAAAATGTGATATAGTAAAAACCTGTCTATTCCGAATGCGTCAGCGACCAGCCAAAAGTATTCGGATCAGCAGGTTTATAACAAACTGGGGACCAAGACAAAAAGTGTTCACATTGAGAGTTGTTTGGATATACAGGTTTCGCTGTAAATCTAGAGATAAATTAAAGATCTCAAAGCAAAAACAACACGGGATACTAGAATATCCGCGTATATTGAGTATGACCGGTTCTAAGCTTACGAGTGTGAATGTATTTCTGTTCCTATAAACAGACGAGGTGAGTACTTGCTTTTTATGAACACTTTCGAACGTTTTCTTTTTATCCTACTTGGTCAATGAATGATACTTGGTATACTTATAATGCCAGGCATATCACAAGGGGCCTTAATCAAGAGAAAAAGTATTAATATTAGATTGAAGCCGTAAAATCCTAGTTTCCAGCATCTTTGATCAGTTTTTGTTTAACACAACGCAACTCCGAAGAGGATGACACATCTTATGTATAGCTAGATCTACGAATTAGTCATGAATATTTTAAATAATTTAGCCTGCTCTGTCCAAATATGATACATCTTTGAATTTTTGAGAATACGAATGTCACTGGTGCCCCATTATTCGACAATACGATTGTGAAACAATCAGTGGGCCGTGTTACACTCGTTTCCATGACATTTCACAAGCGTATCCTCTGGGAAAAGATAAATCCTTCTCTTGCTCACTCTACGGGGGATCATATAAACTGAGATTTGGAGATCTTGTTCAGGTTAGCCATAAAAAGGTTTGGGATTTGTTTTTTTCTACTGTGATATTAATGATTTGGCTCTAAGGCGAGAAATCTGTACTTTCTGATTGATATTCCATTATGAACAGCTACATTGCTAAAATAGCTCATGTTTAACATTTTTTTGTTACATTACTATTAAATACAGCATAAACTATATTCAACAAACACAATTTCAAAAAGGATAATATAGAAGTTAACCTTTATTTTCCATTTTTAAGCAGCTGTGCCTCTCATGACTTTCCAAAACAGGTCATATTCGTAGCCTAAGAACCGGTCATACTCAATATACACGGATACTCTAGTTACCCGTGTACAATAGAACAGAAAAAATTCTTAAAGTGCAGCATGCTCAATAACTTATGATTTTGCTGACAGTTGTAAACCAAGAGAACAAGAGCATTGACTTTCGATTAAATGATTGTTACTTCATCAATATGCCTGGCTTATCCTTTCTAACATGAAAAAATATAAGCCTCTGACAGAATATAGCCTTTAGTTTACCAATGCCATTGTATTCATGTATTTTAATTACACATTTTTGAGTAACTTAGTTTAGACTAGTGCACAGTATTACCAGAAGTAGCTGGATGTTGTGTGAAGACAATAGCATGTTAAGAAGATGCTAATACATACCTCTCCCTAAATGGGCTATTGATGTGCTCTGATTTTGCATTGTTCTTTTGTAAAACAGCATCAATTAGCAAGAAATTATCCTAAATTTTCTACCAGGAAGTGTTTGGTTCATTGCTCTTCAAATGCTCTTCAAAGATTAGTTTAACAGCTTAAATTCTCTCATTCAGACTCTTTTGGTATGATAGGTGGAATATGAGGCACATAAAGAAGGTCAAAAGAGTGTCGGAATTAGAATAAAAGGTTAAGAATAAGGTTTTCATAGGGATCAAAAACGAATCACTTTTTTATATCACCACCAAAAAGTGGTCTCTGTTTTTTTTATGGCGTTTGGCAATCGGCGTCTGTAACAAATTCTTACAACTTCCAATAATTTAACAAATACTGTTCAGACTGACTTAATTTTTTTTCAGAAGTTCAAGTCTGACTTTATAGCTGACTTTATAAGATTTGCCCTTCTCAAGGTCAAAAAAAGGTTAAAAAGGTCTTTTTTCAACGTGCTTCAAATTAACCAAAATCATCTACAAGTTATCAGAAGTTCAAATCTGACTATAACCTTCAATGACAATCCCAAGGTAAAAAAAAATTTGACATTCAATGACCTTCTCAAGGTCAAAAAGGTCTTTTTTCATCTTGCTTCAAATTGACCAATATTTTTTTTTTCAAAATCATCTAGAAGTTCTCAGAAGGTCAAATCTGACTTAAGATTTAAGATTTCACCTTCAATGATCTTCTCAGGGTCAAAAAGGGTCTTTTTTCAACTTGCTTTAAATTGACATTTTCTCATGTTAGTGCCTTTTTTTTTACTTTTCGAGGCACTGCAAATGAGTACGAAATCAGATATACGTCATACCAGTATTGAAATTTGATGTCACTTGCAGCACTTGTATAGAAATATTTAACAGACTTATAATATGTACTCTCTCTCTTTCTTATTGCTCTTACGCAATATTGAATATGGAATCCCTTACTAGTATATCATGTTAAATTAGCTGGTATTACAGA